TTTTTGTGCTCACTAGATAATCTCTGAAAATTCTAGCTTTCATATATCTTCTCTCACTTAACGATAAATCTGTCCAAGTCGCTCTCTATACTGGAACTTGAAAACCACAAAAGATTTTTTTTCTGATTTTAATCCTTTTCGAAGTCTGTGGTGGTCAAATTTTATCTTCGTTTTTGTCTAGGAGTCATTTATTCACGTCTTTATGTATTTATTTAGGCAATGGAAGAGCACATAAATTACAAAAAGATGAAAGCGAATAGTTCCAATATTGTCGATTTTCTGGGAATTTTGGTTTCCCTCTGTTTGTTTTACACATTCAAATGTTCGTAAAGATGTTGCGAAATCAAAGTGCAAGTTTGCATGTTTCCCGTTCGTTACCCGATTTGGATACCCTTATTTGGTATTTGGTTCAGCTGACTTGGCATCTGGAAGGTGGGGCTTCGTGACCTAATTCAGCTAGTTAATTCAGAGGCATGCCCGCGAGAGAGACGCAGATTGCGTCGCGGGCGCGAGCGGCCTTAATTAGGTCACAAAGCCCGCCTTCCAACCGCCAAGTCTGTTGAAATAAAGGTTACTTCCCATTCAACTGTAAAGCTATTCCTGTTACCATTTCAAGCATCCGTGATTGACATAAACTCATAGACAAAGCACTTCGGCATGCGTTTTCTCCTCTGCATCCCGTTTCCCATCGATTTCCATACAGCAGTTATCTATAGCTTTGTACTTGCACCCATTTCTTTGATATATTTGTTTTTCGAGCGAAGCGGCTCCGCAATTTTCTGCGCTCTTTGGCCAGGCTCATCCATATCGCTGCAATAACACTTTTTACGATGGCGAAAAAAAGCTTTGCACTTGTAAGTAAACTGAATCAATCTCCCATGCGCTGCAGCGGCGAGATTTATGTTGAAAACATTGCAGAGAACCAAAACGAACCGGAAAGATTTATGTTGAGAAGGAAGATAATGATGAATTTGTGGGTGGCCGCAGAATTTATTATGAGGAGAGGCGCATCACAGAGCTTATTCTCTGAGTATTAAAAAATTGCTGATCAAGCAAAAAAAGACAAAAGCTAGCATAATTATGGATCAGTAAATCATCTGTGAGAATCTCATGTCTACCCCCCCCCCCATTTTCTAGCCCATGCGACTCAAAAACTCGTACCCCTTTCCTTCCAAAAAGGTTCTTTGCAACCGATTTTGAGACCTTTTCTTTTGACCTTTCAGAATCGCTTTGTTTTTACTAGAATGATTGACTTTCCAATTTGTAAAGTGCTTACAGTTCGTCTTCTTTTTAAATATAGATCCTGGGAAGGGAAAAATATTTCAATAAAAATCTGTTGTCTTTTTACGGGTATTCTTGCAGAAAAAAGCGTAGAAAGGTATCCGATCATCAGCTTCAGTATAGCCTATCACAAGTGAATCTGTTCGAAGCAATAATCATTTTCGATTATTTTTTGATGATTTTTATCTGATCCCCTTTTTTACTCCGACATTCTAGATACGATAATCTTATTAAGTCAAAGTTTGAAGCTGTAAGAACATTTTGCAGATGGCTGGCACTGTCCGCCTCACATTGCGTAATTGCACTACACAATTCAAACTCTCATAAAATTTTAATGTGACTGTGAAAAGCAGCTGACAGGGCTTTTAACCCCTTTCCCCTCTCATTCTCCTGAAAATAATGGGCCTATTACGTTTGCAAGTTTGTTTTATGGCGAGTTTTAGAAGTCAAAGAGTGAAGAATTTTTTTTGCAGTCTCTGAGGCTTCATTTAGAGTTTGCTCGTGCCGGCGCCGTGCCAGCACCGTGCAACCCACGTGCACGTGCCCTATATTGATTGTTTCGGTTCCAGCATGGCGCTGGCACGACTTTAGCTCACGACCAACTTTGCACGCCGTCTTAGTACACTAACAACCCAAATTTTCTCTATGATTCATGGGTGGAAGATTATGGCGATTTTTTTTTTCTAACTACTCTTCTACCAGAAGTTTCGTAAGTTACACATCGTTGTTTACGACCTCCGTGAGGTTTTTCACCACAAATCACCTTTTTTCACGGACGGATAGGCGCACTAGTCATCATTTGATAGGATGATAGTCCACCACGAAACCCGTTTACCTTCGATGACTCATCCCTTTACAAAAGTAAGAGTTCTTACAACTTTGTCTGTCCCCGGTCTCCCGCGCATCGACGCTGCAACCTAGAAATCGCACTTTTTTCGCACTACACAACACTTTCTGTCGCATTGCGTCTCATCAGTCGACGCGACTGGCTCGCAGAAGAGGAGCCGATGACACGGACGGTTGAGTTCATCTCCGCCCCGGAGCGGGAATGACTCAGCCGACCGAACAGTGTTGGTCAGACCAACAGCCGCAGTTTTGGCTCGTGTGCGTTCGATTAAACTCGTCCGCAGTTTGCGACCCGGCGCAGCATGGATTATAAAACCGCCCCTCCAAGACCTTGAATAAGCGATTCGAATGGATTTGTTCCATGGGAGTGTTCGTCCTAGATTCTTCACATGTTTTCATGCTTGTTTACCCATTTCGAAGTCATTTGGCCAGTTCAAGCCGGTTATTTTTCTTCTTTTTTCTTTCAAATCCCCTTTGTCTTCCCAAATTGCTGCAGATGGCCGCTAGTTGAGTTGTACACTTTTGGCCTCATTTATAATAATGCTTTTTTGAGTAATTTTTTTTGCAATCACCTGTTTTATAGTTGTATGGCCAATTCGAGCGCGGAGTATCTCATTTATGTAAAAACTTCTTCTTTATCTTGCACACGTTGCTGAAAATGTCAATATTTCTATCTTCAGGTAGAGAGAGAGTTGTTTCAGTTGAACTAGCAAACAAATACGCTTTGATGATTATTTCTAAGCCTTAATGAAATGAAGATCTTTTTTCATGTGCCTGCAGTTTTTTTCAACTTTCTTGCTTACCGCTCTATCTTTTTGAAAGTGTATTGCACAAATATTATGTTTTGATAAAGATTACGTCATTCAAAATTTGGCATTGAATAAGTCAACTTGACACTTCTCCAAAAAACATCCTGCTGATTTACAAGGTACATTAAGAATTTTTCAGGTGGATTTTTGGTAGAAATTTCAGTTTCTGTATTTGCTAATGAAAGAGAAAATGATGTGTGTACTTGTTCACTCCGTTTCGTTCATTCCCTTAGACGGAGTATGACTTGATTTCTAAGTCTTCCCGGAACTCCTCGGTAAGGAAGGAAGATAGTTTGAAGTAAAAAGTTGAAATTTAGTAGTTTTTTTTATCACAGTTAATAGCTAGAGTACTGTAGTGAGTCTCTAAAGCGAATCCATAATGCATTTTTTGTTTACCGCCGCCCTTCTCACCCATCTCCTCCTCAACCTTCCTTAGCCTTGTTGTTTGTTTACCACGTAACCCGTAGATAGGGCATAAACATTTTATGTGATCCTAATAACCCTTCATCGTATCTTATCAGGGAACGCTCCCTTTTTTTATCGTTCGCGAAAATTGGCAAGGTGTGAATAAATAGCTCATTGCTTTGAAGTTGGATAGAAGAAACGTTTTTAGCACATATAGAATAGCATATCCTTTTGAACGAAAGTTTTTCTCCAGTCACTACTTTACTATTAAGGCTAAATCGCGAATTTTTTATTTTTTTGTTTTCATTTTCTGTCCTATTTGTCGATGGATCACTCTTTCTCTGTTGTGACTGATAATTTGGAACGCAATCATCACGATAGTCTTCACCTTTCTGTCCTCTTCATCACAGCGGGTCCTCTTCTTTTTTTCCCTAGTCGCAGGAATAGAACACCTGCGCCCACCATAACTTTTTTTTATCAAGTGCGAAGCTTGATGCTTTCTAGAACACCTTAATCGCTTTGTTTATCGCCATCGTAAATCTGCGCGATCTAGTTTTCGTTTTTTTTTGTATGGCTATTCACAGGATATCTACCCCAATATTCTTGGATTAATGGGCTTTTCTGCTGCGCATCTATGAAATTATTTGTTTTTCGGTCGTAGCACCGCTAGACGTTATAAATTTTACTAGGGAGAGCTTAAAAGTTCACTCAAGCCTCCGGAAATGGGTCTTACTCTGGCATTCGTCAAAAATATCCATTCGAACTGCACCCGGACGAATGATGGCTTAATGCATGTCCGCAAAGCCGTTAGTTTTGGAGCTTACACGCATCGGAAGACTTTTTTTTTGCGCTAAGCCATTTGCGAGGAGAGGAGGGGAGCGGGGAAGAGGGGAGGAGATGGGAGCTAGAAAATAGCTCCTTGCCTCCTTTTAGCTTTATTGTCTTTGAAGTGCATGTTTTTATGGGAAAAATATTGCCTTTGGAATAAACAAGCTCGGAGAATTATAAAAATAGCTGAATGAGTAACGATATGTTGAGTAACGAGCAGCTGGGATAATGGGTAAAAAAATTATTGATCGCTATAGCTGCTTGTCACCAAAAATTTATATTCAGCTATTTTTGCAGTTCTGCTGAGCTATTTTGTTTTACTACTGGATATCGTGAAGAAATAGCTAGCAGTGCTCTACCGAATTTCTGCTTGAGGTAGGAGTGGAAGGGGAACCGGTTAGCAAAAATTTCGATCGAATCAGTGTGAATGGGCGGGGCTTCCACAAGAATTATCAGTATCTTTTACTTTGCACAAAGACACTAAAAACCTGAAATCTTTATAGGGACTCGTGGAAGTTTTCAAAATTTTTTAGCCTGACATATAATGTCAGCTTGCTATCTGTATCCTAAGGTTTTACATGGTTTTATCGAATAGTTTTTTCTTTCGATAAATCTCTCACCGTTCTCCACCTCCACTGCCATCTTCAATTGAAATTCCACCTCCAGTTTTTGTAAAATGAACGTGACTTCTAATAGCTGACTTCCTCTTTGCGCGGCATTTTTTATCCCTTCAATGACCACCACTTGTATCGTTTTTTCGAGCGAATATACATCGAAATGTCGCTGATTCACCTTTGAAATATGTTCATAAGCCGATTTCACTGTGATTTAGTCAACAAGAGTGACCATGACGTGATGCTATGCAGCTGTTCAGTTCCGAAGACCTTTAGCTTTTTTCATACTTGAAGGACATTTGCAAGGACATCGGATTTTGAATACTTGGACCAAATTCTTCTATCTGCAGGTTTTTTCAAATTTCTGTGACGCTTTCAAAAACCTTCGGGGGCCTATAATTTCAGGGTACAAAAATCGAATAATTTTCATTGTGATTTTTATTTAGTTGTCTACAATTTTGCGTTACCAATTATTGATTTTCGCTTTATAAAATATCAAACGTATCCTCATCATAAAAATCATGCAGTAACTTTTGATTCAACTGGCTTGGAGGCTGGAAGGCGGGGCTTCGTGACCTAATTAAGGCCGCTCGCGCACGCGATGCAGTCTAGGTCTTTCTCACGGCCTGCTCTCTTCATTATCTAGCCTTAATTAGGTCACAAAAGCCCCGCCTTCCAGCCGCCAAGCCAGTTGAATCGTAGGGTATAAAGACTTAACACCATGCCCTTTTTAATCTGTTTATGTAAGGTAGCTACAATTGAATCATGATTAAAAACACTGAGTCACCTTGACAGAAGGTTAAAAAATTAAGGACTGCACTAGTTTTCTAAGCGAGGTTCCCCAGACTTGTTTACTTGTCGCATTAGTTACTAGGCAGACTAGACTTGACGGCATCGCAAGGTTGGCAGTTTTTCTGCGATTTTTCGATCGATTCAACTTGAATTTTATTTTAGAAACCAAGCCAGATTTTGTATGCCAAGCTCTTGTAAAATAACTTTATGTAAAAAAGATATGCTGTTCAAAACATCAAGTTAACAGACCAACCGACACGGTCAGTACAGCCAATCCTTTTCCAGAAGCTACGAATCCAGCTTCAAGAGAATTCTGGATTATTTCGAGTGTTTTTCTATATGTTCCTCGGTCCTGGATGAAACTTCACTTTTGAGGGGGAGAACGAATATTTCATGCACCGTCGCGAACTACTGGTCCTAATATGATGGGACAGCGGTAGGACGAAAGGACCAGCAGCCCGCGGAGGCGGTGCCTGATTGAGGTGTTCGTTCCTCTACCCATATTTTGGTGGAAGTATAATCTGCATAGGTAGCAAACTTCTGCAACTCAGCAGCTTTGACAAAGTATGCAATCGAAAATTGTTTAATTCGCGCAAGCTCCGCCTACTGAAGAGCAACCTTATGCACAGACTCCGCCTACCCTCTCTCAGAAGTTAAATTGTTCTTTTAAGGTTTCTGAACATCTTGCTCAAACTCTTGTCCAGTCCATTTTTTCTATATATGTTAGCATTGCTTTGCTTTGTTTGGTATTTTGGCATCCAGTTCAATCTAACTGGACAACATCCCATTCATTTCATTCTATTCAATGATCTCCACATGGCAGTTGCGTATACGAAACAAATACAGATGTGTGCTGAATGGCCACCTTTGTTATAGGCCTGGCAATAACTTTTATTATTGACAACTAAACTGGTTTGTAAGGCTGTATGGCACTTTTTTGGGAATGTGCCAATCTGTCCACTGCCCCCCCCCCTCTTGCAATTCTCCTTTCTTCCATTCCGATCTGTAGTGCTATTCTTCCGTCGTTCTACCACTCAGCTGTTCGGGCCGTTCCCACCACTTAGGTCCTTAATTAGCTTAGCAAAGCTCTCAAACCAGTCAAGTGTTCTTTGTATCAAATAAGCGGCGCCGATTTGGCACTGATTGATCGTTTCTGATCCCTATTTCCGACTCGATTTGTCCTACTTAGGCCATAAAAGATTCTCTCGCACACACAGTTCTATGTCAATACTCGCTCAATGCTATCCAACGATCCCTATCTCGATTACGGATCGATCATCCCCCCTTTTTGGCTCCCGCTCCTCCTCCCACTACCCACTCCAGTTGCCTCTGTATCGACACTTAAGAGTCACAGCACTTGAAACTAGCCTCGTCACTTTTCTCCCTCTCATGAAGTTTTTGTTCGTAGTTAATGGGTTTGTTCGCCCTATTGTAACATCTGTACCAATCGATGAACATTAGATGTTCAAGGACGTCTTGTCATACTTTCGTCTGTGTGGTTGTTATAAACGAATTTCGCGCAGTCATTTATCACTTAGTTGACCTGATGTGTTGTCTCGAGAGAATATGATAGTTTCTGGAAAATTAAATGGTACAGGGAAATAATCGAGCGGATCGGGTAACGCGTTATAATCACTAGGCGGTGGGTCAGCGCTATTTGTTGCGCGTATTGGAACTATCTGGTCTTTATTGCAATGAATATTTTTTTTGCAATTCTCCGTAATTGCTGCTGATTTTGTTGACGGTAAAATAATGAATTTAATGAATTATAATGAATTTATAATGAATTATATGTTAATATGAATTATATATTTATAATGAATTTTATGTTGTAAGTCTTCTTATCTTTGAACCTTGACATGTTCTTGAGGATAAATAATTTCAATAATTTGATTTGTTTTTTTAATAATTTAATTTTTCCCATTTTTATAATTTTTTATGTTGGGCAATAAAGTATATCATCTATAACAACTTGTACGGCATAATATAACAATTGAAATTATGATATTTGAATTTTACTGTTTACCGATTTCTGTATATGAAAGTATCATCTCTATTCTCAGCTTCCATTGGATATTTTTGTCCGTTCCCTAGAATTTGTCCGTTTTCTTTGTTTGCTGTCTTTGCCACTTTCGCGTATGGATTTCAGAATTCGATCATCCTTTTTTTTCAAAAGCGATCAACTGTTTAATAAAAGATACTCGTGGGTGGCACTCTATTCTCTTTTATTTTTTTAATGGTATATTTCGCACTTTCAATGGAGATATGCCTGCTTATATATTTTATTTTATTTTTGTTTCGCATTTTCCAAATTCTGAGTCTTCACATTCGCATTTCGATAAAGGGTACTCTTCGTCTGAAAACTTTTTTCTTGTTTCCTCACTCCATTTTCGCAAATTTATTTTTTTTTTCGTGGACACTGGTAGAAATTTCCCGGAATTTCATATCACGTTCTTAAACAGCTTGTTTCAAGGATTTTTTCAGTTTTTCTCGTTTGTCTCTGTCCATGCTTATCGACATTCTTCAGTAAAAGAAAGAGATTGATTAGGCCACGAGCTTCATGAGCCCATCTTCTTATAATGTGGATTGTCAAGTAGCAGAGCAAGTAATGTGAGAAGTTTCTGCATTTTTTGTCACCGTCAGTCAACCTTGTGCTTTTTTGCTTCACTTTTTCTTCGAACTTTTTGCAGCTACGTGTCCCCTCAAAAATTACAACCGTCACCGTCTCATCGATTGCTTTTGTAAACATCGCTACAAATTTCTGTACTCGATAAATCATCGATCAAGAATTGGTTTTGATTTGTGATTGCTCGATGAGTTGTTTGTACCATATCACTGCAAATTGAACAGATTATCGTTCATCATTTTTCTGTTCCGAACATCTTTGATTCTCATTCGATCATTTGCATATTTTCTTGATTATATGCACAATGCATTACCAGTTCCATTAATCGCTTTATCATTCATGCGTAATTTTCTTCGTTTCATTATTTGCAGTTTTTTTTCGACAAGTTACCTGCTTCCAGTGCATAGTTCATCACAGTCCTCACTCTTTTCAAAACTAAGGTTATTGAGCAATCCTTTCTCTGGGGTTTTACGCCAAAAAAATATCCACTCCTCTGCGCGTATTCCCTTTTTCCAGTCTATGTATAACAGTCTGATTGTCCCAAGTGTCCTGCTGATTTATGCGCTGATGTTCTTGATGTTTCACTTTCGGAGAAGAATCAATACACTTCTCATTCCTTGGGTCTCATTAATAGTCCTTTGAATGGTTTGGCATCACCACTGGCCTCGGCTGCGACAGCTCAGAACGTCTTTTTCATGAAATGGCATCTGACATTTTTTGCTTCATGGCTTAGAAATAGCTGCGTGGAAGATTTTCACTTATTTCTCGCTTATGGTTGAATCCATATAGTTATTTCTTAGTTCCTCGAAAAAATTGCAAGTATCCATGTTTAGCCAAACCTCGGGCTTTTATCTATAGAAGTGAGATATCTGCTTCAATTTTTCTACTGGAAAGTATGAAGTGTGAAAGTAAGAACTATATCCGTGATCGCTTATTTTTTAATATCCCTTTGACCCCCCCCCCCCCTCCCCTCGCCTCTCGAACTTTTGAGAAAGGAATGTTGCAGACAACATGATGTGATTATGATCGGAGTTTTTTTTTGCTTTGTACTCCAATCTGGATAATTACAGAGTTATTTTTTCTTCGTTTTTCTATTCTCAAAGTAGTTTTGATGAGGAAGCACTTCTATGCAGCAGCAAGATGATTCATTGTCCGAAATTTGCGTTTGAATCAGCCCAATTGGCTTGCGATTTCGTAAAACAGCGCATAATATAATAATTTCATAGGAAAAATTGCGCATATTACATCTTTCGCAATTTTTGTCAGAATATACCTTTTTCAATCCTTTAGCTCGCTCTCACTTTTCGTGGATATTTGGACATTATCCATCAATCATGTACATAGATGCCAATTTCCCCTTTTGTAACATATCACAAGGCGTTGGAAGCGCTTATGTTGGAAGTTTTCTGACACTTTTATTGTCATACATTCTTGTCTTCAATCGTCTTCTGACGGAATCTCCATGTTTTTCTGCATGTTTTGCCATACGTTGTCGACTATATGTTGCTTCAGAAACTGCCCATCCCCGAGTCTCACAGAGTTGACGTCCCGTCCGAGTCATCCGGCACTTCACTATGAAGCCGCGAATCTTTTGTATTTTCTCCATTGCACTTATTCCCTGGATCGGCGCTGAAAAGACAGCTCCGAAAGTAGAGCCGACTGGTCCAAATGTCTGCACCGTGCCTACTATGTAAGTTTAGACAGTTTTTTATACTTTACTTTTTTGAAAAGGCATTTTTTCCTGTAAATTTCTCCTTTTTATTATGACTTTTTTTTATTTTTGTTTGAAACATCTTTGTTTCATGCATTGAGTTGTCCATCAGTTAGTCATTGTTTACAAATGTTCATGAATTTTTGTTGTCACAAAAAAAAAACGACAACGGGTTCAAAAACCTAGTCTGCAATCTTTTTCCCCGCTCCTTTTGGATCTTGTTTTTTGTTCGCGTTAGAATGAGGCTTGTCTACTGTAGCCATTTGGGAGTGTTGAGAAGACAAATTGCAGGTTTTTGTAAAAAGGCAATCTCACATCTACCCGCATTCCATCCTGTTCAATCACAGTAGCCCAGTTTCCATCTATAGAGGGAATCGAACATGCACTGTTTCTGCTGAGAATTACTGACATCGTTTACAGATCCGTGAATGAATTTTTCAGATTCCAGAAAAGGGCAGACAAGCCTTATATCATTTTTATTGCTGACTAGACATGCATATCCTTTCTATTACAAATTTGCAGAACAGAAAGGTAGTTATGTTTGAAACAGCAAATTAATGCTTGTTTTCAAGCTACTTTTTATTGATTGAAACAAATTGCACAATATTATCAGTCATTTTTTCCACTGAATTGAGAGACTTGAATTTTGTAAAATAATGTTTTGAAAATGTTGTTCTCTTTTTTTCCCGCTGGAACAGAAATGGTCCTTTTATTAAACCGGCTTAGCGGCTGCAAGGCGGGGCTTCTGACCTAATTAAGGCGAGGTATTGATAGAAGAGCACGCTCGGGAGAGACGCAGACTGCGCCGCGGGCGCGAGCGGCCTTTATTAGGCCACAAAGCAACGCCTTCCAGCCGCCAACCCATTTGAATCAAAGGTATCTAAGCGATAATTTTACGATGGAACTGCAACTTTGCGCATTATTTTTCGAAAGTTCCGGTTTCAAATATGCTTTATGCCCTTTCTCGGAAACCGTCGCCATTATTGCTAATAATCGAGTGGGGGAGTAGAAGTATGTATGGAGTATCACTTGTTCTCATCTCAGGTCCTCTAATTTCATATTTGCGGGATTTCCAATTGTTAAGTTTTTCCCTCGTCTTCAGAACAGATCACCTCTCATATATGAATACTTTCTTGATTAATTGTCAATCATTTTCAACAGTGTAAAGGTGCCAATGATATAACTCTGCAAAGAGTTCGACCAAAATCCATAATTTTTATGGGCATCAACGATCAAATAGTGCGAATTCTAGTTTGATTGTGGACTGGAGTGACTAGGCAAACGAATAGCCTATTTGCACATTTTTTGCAGTGTCGACGAGTTCAAATTGGAGAAAGTGTTCCGACCGGTTGAGTACACCGAATATGAGACGTGTCTTGATGTTTCCAAGGGATTTAGATGTCCGGTTGTCAAGTAAGTCAGCTATACCTAAAATTTTGGGGTATTTTAAATTTTTCATTATGATATTGATGTTCCAGAAAAGGTGGCCGATACGGGTATGAAAATAAACTGGTCAAAGTGGAGAAATATGTGAAGGCATGCTGCGAAGGATATTATCAAACTACGGAAAACCTTTGCAAACGTGAGCTGTTGTTAGAGGATTATGGTAGATCTCCATTCAACGACGTATTGCAGCTGAATGTGATCCTCCATGTAAAAAAGGCCACTGCGTAGCGCCAAACGTCTGCGAATGTGACTCGGGTTACGGTGGAAAATACTGCACATCAAGTAAGATACCACAAAAACCTTTATTTTTATCATCACTCTGTATTTGCTTACTTTCCGTCCAGAGCCCCTTTCCCAACGACAAATCTTGGGAAAGGGGCTTCAAGTTGATTTCCTACTATTCTTTTCTTCTCGTACTTTTTTTTCGATTTTTCATTATTTGTCCGCTTAAAGTGTTTTCTGGTTTTTTTCTGCATAGTGATATTATCATGCACTTGTTCCTCTGAAGATGATTTCCCCTTTTTTTAATAACGATTATTTGATTTTTGCAATCGGTCTGAAAAACCTCGTTTCTAATACCATTAGTTTTATCCAATTTAACCTTGAACTATAGGTTACTTTGAATCTCCACTTTAGCATGCTCTGTGGGTCTCTGGGGACCATCATGCCAACGAAAATGCGATTGTGAAAATGGAGCCAATTGTGATCCAGAAACGGGTGTCTGCATCTGTCCTGCCGGTAAGCTCTTCTCATGTTTAGGGGAACTGCACCAATCGCATTGCATTACTATCATGCGGCGCTGCATTGCGGCTGCGTTGCGTTTGCGGCACGTTTACAAGAATTTTATATATATTTTCTAGATAATTTTTTCTTTCTCTCAGGCTATCATGGTGAAAGATGTGCTGAGGAGTGCCCACCTGATCGCTATGGTCCCAACTGTACGGAAAGATGTCTTTGTCAAAATGGTGGCAGGTGAGGTTGAATCCCTAGTAACTACATGAAAATTGATTTGGGAATCTCATTTTGTGGTATTTCTTTTCTCTGATTTCACAATTAGCTGTTAAAAATTTACTGCGATGTACCTGCTTATTATGGAGTGCACGATCAAATCCAGTTCTCGATTGATGCTTACCAAGCGTAATTCTAGATGCGACAAAGACGGAAAATGCAATTGTCTTGATGGTTTCGCTGGCGAATTCTGTCTTCGAAAATGTGATGAAGGAAAATTTGGCGCAAATTGCAAGTTTGAATGCAATTGCAAGAACGGAGCCACTTGCGATGCAGTAAATGGACGATGCATTTGTGCAGCTGGTTTTACCGTGAGTTTTTTTTTCTTTTTTCCAGCTTTACCGTGATTGCTCGTTAAGCCTGCGTTTTTTGGTGCATTTGCGACTCGCTTCTTTCCTCAATTGCATAGAAAAGTGTTCCAGGGTCCAACATGTGAGGATAAGTGTCCAGATGGTTATTACGGGCAGAACTGCACTCACGTCTGCGATTGTCTAAACAATAACAAATGTGATCCGATCAGTGGCATGTGTTTATGCGTCGGATGGATGGGCGAAAAGTGTGAACGCGGATGTCCAAGAGGATTCTATGGACCTATGGTTGGTCAAATCAATAAAAATTATCTATAAAGATATCCACAAAAAATAAGTCCTCCAGCCATTCAATCAAGATCATGCAGACATAGATTTTCGCTTAGGCGGGCGCCAGGCTTGATCAGCTAGCCGCTTAGCCACTTCATGATTGGCTAATTTACTGCTCTGACCAATCATGAAGCGGCTAAACGGTTCAGTCTGGCGCCTGCCGTAACTGCGTTTTCGACGTCTTTATAATGCTTATAAAGCATATTTTATCTTGTTGTGGCGTAGGGGAATCCAAAAATACTGAGCTTATCGCTACATTTTTGAAAAATGGCTTGAATTTCTTCGCCGCTTTCGCGCCACTCCTTTATATCGCAGAATTTATTCTTTGTCTTTTAGTGTTCAAAGAAATGCGAACTCTGCAATGGCATTTCATGGACAGACTCGAATGCGGCATGTGATCCGATCACAGGAGCATGTAAATGCGAACGAGGTTATAAGGGACCAGACTGCAAGCAACGAGGTAAGTACTGCTTGGGTAAAAATACTTTGAGTTGGGGATGTTCGTATAGCGGGAAAGAGCTTGTACACAGTTTGACATTCACGATGAAGACACTGTGAGTTTGTAATTTGCCGATATCTTTATCTGTTTGTATGTACGCAGAGGAGGGGAGGGGGGGAGGGGGGAGTCATAGAGCATATCGCGTTAAACGAACTTCTTGGAAGTGTAATGCATCTCTAAAAATTCTTTCTTTAGTTTGCGAAGAAGATATGTACGGTCTAGACTGCTCTAAACAATGCACCTGTGTGATGGAAAATACCGAATCGTAAGTTTACCCATTGGTAAGCCAATAAAGTCCTTACAAACCTAACTCCAGATGTGCCCCAGACACGGGTTACTGTAGATGTAAACCTGGCTACGTCGGTGATTCTTGTGAACAGATCTGCTCCAAACTCAACTGGGGTGAGTTTTGCAGCCTCAACCATGATGTTATCATCAGTATGTATGTTTTGTTATAGGACGAGATTGCGCAAACACATGCGAATGTAACTATAACTTCACATCTGAATGCGATTTGACCACTGGTAGATGTGTATGTTTACCGGGCAGAACTGGAGAAAAGTACGTTGCAAAGATTTCAGTCGGTTACATTCTGTCTTTTTTTTTTAGCGTGTCTGAGCCAACTGTTGCAGGTGCGCTGACGAATGTCCAGACGGATATTTTGGGCTAGATTGTGCTTTCAAGTGCCAGTGCGGTGAGAATGGTGTTTGCGATAAAAGAAATGGTTCATGCAAGTGTCGAAATGGTGAGTAAATCTTGAATCTAATGACATCTTCACTTCTTGTTTTTACTGGGCGCTCTTTTTGCACCGCTACAGTATGCTACCGTAGTGTGGGAGACGTAGGGAGGATCGCAGTGTGAGTTTGCTACCTCGCATGCAGTGCTGCTTCTTATTTACAAATGTAGTGTAGCGCAAAATTTTCCTATCAACCGAGTGGGTTATGGTAGCATCCGGTAGAAGTGCAAAAGCCTATACTTTATAAGGATTTTTCCAATAGATGAAATTTTTACTATGTAAATTTTCTGCCCATTATGAATTGGGAGTCATCATTGAACATACAGGTTTCCACGGAGCCACATGCTCAATATCTTGTCCCGCTGGTCATTTTGGTGAATCATGTGCCGCTTGTCAGTGCCGTAATGGAGCAGGATGCGATCCTGTCACGGGCGACTGCCACTGTGCTGCAGGTGATTTTTCTGACTTCTATTTTTTCAGGCCTTTACTCTCTTATCTTTTGATTTTGATCCTTCAAATTGTAAGAGACCAAGTGATTGTTTAGGCTGGACGGGAGCGAAATGCGACACGCCTTGTGCTGCTGGCACTTATGGACCACACTGCGCGATTGCGTGCCGTTGCAAGAACGGAGGCGAATGCGATAGATTCACTGGAGAATGCAAATGCACACAAGGATTCAAAGGTATGAACAAAACGTAGTTGGCTTTAGCGAAGTTACTTTTTGTTATGAGTTAAATACTGTTACCAAGTAATAATGTCTTGATAAATTTGAGAGTTTGTATTCAAATGGATATAGTGGACATAGTTGAGTTAGCATAACAGAAAATGCAGGGGTGCATTTTTCGCCGGTTTTTCCATGGTGACTCAGAGGCGTCCACCACTGCAGTGCACGTCCGATGCCACTGAGTAGTTATGGAGAATGCGGTCGATGCCCGGACAGTCAGAACTACTCCATCCATTTGTGCACTTCAGCCTGCACCTTCCACTTTGTATTTGTTTGGTATACTTGAAGCTGACAATCGCCTTGTTCAGGCCCTGATTGTTCGTCGCAATGCGAAAATGGTCGTTATGGTGATTCCTGTCAAATGGACTGCGACTGCAATGGAGGCAGCTGTCAGCAAAAGACTGGAAAATGTGTGTGTGGTCCAGGAAAACAAGGAGATCGCTGCGATCAAGGTCAGTGCACTTTCTTAGTTCACTATGCAGACTCCAGCGTCTTCTCCTTCTAGAGTGTGACGCTGGACACTTTGGATTTGGTTGTCGAGAGTTCTGTGGAAATTGCACTTTGGACAGTAATACTGGGCAATGCGATTCCAAGACTGGAGCTTGTCTGAAATGTCCACCCGGAAGGTATGAAGCTCAAGTATTGGTGCAGGCTATCCTCAAAATCTATGCTTAGATCTGGCGCCAACTGTCAACATAGTTGCGAGGAAGGCAAATGGGGACAAGATTGTGCGCAGAAATGTTCATGCGCTGACGGCCATAAGTGAGTTGTAGAGCACCGTTTAGTTCGTATTTTTTCTGTGATCTTCGTAATTTTTTTTAGAATTTTGTCTCTGTCATTATGATGATGAATCTATTTTCCGTTTTCGCTTCAGTACTCTATCAAACTCATTTCTAGATGTGATCCTGTGACTGGTACTTGCATCTGTGATTCTGGTTATACTGGCGAAAATTGCGAACAACGTAAGTGTTCTGATTTGTACTGACAGTTCGCCTTTTTTTGCATTGCCTTTTGCATTTTCGTCTATGGGAAATTCTTGTCTTACACGCGAGGTGACGTTAAGCAGCCAAACATATTGATCTGCTTCGTAACGTGTCCCTGCGACTCAAAATCAGAAACATTGATCTTGTCTCTTGTGATGACTGTGCAAGGCTTGCGTCGTGACCTATGTTGTAAATGTTGGAAAAGGAAAATGGTTGCTCTATTGATTGTTGTTTCAGAGTGTCCTGAAGATACATGGGGATTCAACTGTAGCAACAAATGTCCAGCATGTGCCAATGGAGCGAAGTGCAGTCATGTAGACGGAACCTGCTCCTGTCCAGCTGGTTATGAGGGACGACTCTGCGACCGACGTACATTTGCCCGTTTTTAGAATCATTTGAAGCCAAAGCATCGATTTCAGTATGTGTTGCCGGTTTCTGGGGACTTGGCTGCGCTAAGCAGTGCCACTGCGCATCGGAGTTCAAACAGTGTGATCCACATACTGGCGAATGTGCCTGTCCAGCCGGATGGCAGGGCGATCGTTGCAATGTGCCCTGTGAAGATGGCTACTATGGACCAGATTGTATAAACAAGTGCAAATGCCGAGGCACATCGTCAGCGAGTTGTCATCGTGTGACCGGAGCATGTCAGTGTCATGCTGGGTTCACGGGAGAGTTCTGTCATGCCTGTGAGTTCTGATTTATTTCGGACCATGTTTATCATTGGTTCTTACCAATGTATGATTTTGCTTGCAGTATGTCCAGAAGGCACTTATGGTCTGCGATGCGCCCGCGAATGCGGCGATTGTGGAGTCGGATACGAGTGTGATGCAGCCATAGGCTGTTGCCATGCAGATCAACTCAGCTGTGGCCAAGCATGTAAGCCCTCAATCTATGATTTTTCTACTTCTTGTTTCTTTTTACTTTGCGTGTTTGTCACTCAGCTTCTCTTACCGCTGAACAATACAGTTGCTGCTTTAGCCTTGTTTCGCAACTATCCAAGTTGAGCGGTTTTTTTTAGATTTTCTCATGTTTTTAATTGAATCCCTTGATGTTTCGTAGTACTTGGGTAGGCTTGCCCACTAGCATGTCTTTGGTTATTTCTTGCCAGCACAGTTTTATGACCGAAACATCCTTGGGGACCAGTTCTCGCTTCTTTATTTTATGGTCATGGTGGGATTTCAGTGATGGAATTTCAACGACAGCAAGGCAGCGATGGTCAGTCGCGTACAGGAATCATCATCCTAGCTGTCATTGTCTTCGGCATTCTGTCTGTTTTGCTCGTTGCTATGATGCTCTACTATCGTCGCAAATACTTCAGAGAAAAAGAACCGGAGGCGCCAACTGTTGTGTAAGGACCAGTTCTCGCTCTTTACACGTTCCAATCTTATAGCTTTTGTTATTATAGATTCCACGCCGAAAATCACGACGAGGGCACCGAATTCAATAATCCGTTGTATTCGAGACAGTCTGTGCTGGATACAGATCGGGGAGCAGAGTTTCTGACACCCGAAGAGGAAGCTATGGAGCAGAAAAAGCTCCGGGGGCGATCATTCGGCGATCGTACGCAGAGTAATATTTTGTCTTGGATCATCACAGAAATTCGCATAATTAACAAATTTAGATGAATACGCTACACTGGACGAGATGGCCGGTACTTCATCAGCACGAAATCAGAGTATGGTACCTCTTCTGGCCGATACAACGAATGAGGGCACAAGTATGACGAACGCGTCATCCAGTTGAAAGCCACGAGTCACATGGCACACCTATCCCTATAATTCCTTGCTTCTACTTACACTCACATACTGCATGGTACAACGCATGGTCCCCACTCACACATGCACAAGTGTACGTCCTGTCTTTGTTCTAAACAGCATCCATCCTCTGAAGATTATCAGACTGCATGATTTCTAACCTCGAGTGAACAGAATAGTCGCGACAGGACAAATCTGTGGTGGAGGTGGTACTTTCAGTTACGTTTGGTCTCATATTATTCTTTGTTGTATATTTATACAGACTACTTACATGGGGTACCCCTATGTGAATTTATTTTCTCTTACGAACTGGCGAATCGCACCGATATCAGTAGCGTTTAGCAGGTTTTCGTTACTCTTTTTGTCGCACCTAGTCATCTCCACTCACAAGTTTAGTGGTGCTAGTTCTTCCAAAGATTTCTTCCAAAGACAACCGTCTACGGTTCGATTACCACAAAACGGTTACCGTTCTAAAAGCATTTGATAGGGCCTTTAATCTTTCGAATCTTGGTGCATCTGCTTCTCGCCCTAACTTTGGCCATAATGCATTACTGCATTTAATTTCTGCTCCAGGAGTGCATTTCCTTTTAGTTCTAAAATGTTGGGTTGCCAATCAGATATTTTGGGAATTCCTAAATAGTCAAAAGGCCAATGGTGCATATACTAAATGTATCCTCTCGCAAGAGGAACCTTTGAGAAGTCTATATGTCTTCACAACTTTTGTTCTGCACGGCAAAAATTGCAAGAAAAGTTGCATTAAACACTAGTAGAAGTCATCTAACAGCTTGCTTTATGTTTGCTAATGTAATTTGCATGAGAGAGAATCGCAGTCTGTATATGCTTGTTGCGGTGGTTTGAAAAGATTGCATTGCGTAAGCTTGATGCGGAGCAGTACATTCTTAGTCATGAATACTCCACAGTTGCGCTGACGCAGACATTGCGGATGCGTTTATGTATGCGCGCGGTTCTGAAGCCTTTGAACAATAAAATATGGACGAAAGGTATGCGAATTGCTGGAACTGCCTAGTGAAATAGCTCAGCTTATGTTTCTAAATTATTGATCATTATTTTATATGTTTTTTGAAAACATGTGCTGCTTATGAGAATTTTGACTCACTGAAATTATTGAATTGCACTAAGTTCGGGGGCTTTTAACAATTTTTATATGTTTTTTCCCACATATTACTTGTTTCTTGTATTTCTTGTGATTAGTTGCGCTGAGCCGATGTGCTTTAGTCGACTTTGTTTATCAGATCTTCATCGCTGGAAGAAGTGCAAACTGTGGTCGGTGTAGAAATGTCGTCCCGTAATCCATTTGCAGTTCGCACTACTTGCGACTCAAAAGCTTCAGAACCGGGTTGTGTACGCACTTTTTGGAGACGCACTTGTTTTCTGTCAAAAACACATTTCTTTTGCCAAAAAATGCCATAGTCATTTCTGATTCTGTTCTTTTGATTGATAGTGTTTTTGCTAGATATTAGTTCTTTTTTGTTGATTTTTGTTTGCTCCCAAATAACAGTGTGGATTTTGGTGGTGGTGTAGATTTTACAGAAACACGGTTTTGCACTCAAGGGTAGCTCTGCCAACCTCTAACCTCGATAGTGAGCAACTGTCCACTTTGGTAGGCGGAGCTTACCCACACATCCAAATCGCGGCCGAAAGTTCACCGTCACATGGTGAACCACTAGCACGATTTGAAATTGTGATGAAGATTGCATGTTTGCGGATGATACATATTGTGTGTATGCATAGTGGTAATCGACTGGATGACCGTGGATGTTGTGTCATTCGTCGCATAGTCATGTCGCGACCTTACTCTGTTAACTCTGAAAATGACTCCTATTGTTTCACTTCACAACACTTGGTCTCGTTATGCAAGGCGTTAGACTAAAAAACTCTATCTTTGAACTGCATTTGCGCATCCTTGAATTACTCCAATGTTTCCTCCCGAATCTCCTTTCTCATGGTGCTGCGCATCAGTCATATAGTTGTGTTATTTTTCAGCGTTGGACGAAAGCTATGAGGTGCCGCAATATTTGAATGGTTTAAGCAGTCCACAACGTCGTGCCAAGGAAAATGAGCTGAACGCTCGCGCGGCTGGAAATTTATACACATAGTCTAGTACGGCTTCGTCCAATTTTCACAATTGATTTATCGATCTATCACTTTTATTTCCTATTTTTTACTCACAGTTCCTTATCTTCGCCTTACGCTTCGCTGAAACGGGATTTGCACAACTTACTTTGTATCATTTTCGTAAATGATCTTAGTAGGTTTTTCGTGCACTTGGTGTGATTGCTGCCGAACAGTGAAAAAATCGTTTATACTGTGCAGCTCCTCGTTTCACAGATGATTTTTGGTCTGCAGTTACACAATGTACACGAAATACCCTACTAACCATGTTTATCTGTATTATTACATTATTTTTGAGTTGCAGCATCAGCGCTAGTCCTTCAAGCTTGTTTAATGAAATAATTCAGCACCTTACAAAATTGTCATCGTCTAACTCAATACACCTTTCAGTTTTAATAGGTGCCACTCAGCCCATTACTGCTTAACTTCGATCTAACCCATATAGTTTTATGTTCTTATCGAAGACTGTCAAATTTGCGAGAATTCTATGTTCTATGTTCTGTTCTATGTTTTCATGAACATATTTGCTAGTTTCTTCTATGATTGTTTTGAAATATATTTTCTTAAGCTGTCGTGATACAAATGAAATTCCTGTGCTCTGCATGTATGTACGATTGTGTTCATATATGTGAATGTTTGATTATACGTGTACAATACAATGTATTATTCTTACCCTTGAGATTATAAATATTTTTCGATACAGTTTTCTGTCATGATACTCACATTTATTGTTGACAAAATTGTGCCCCCCTTCTCTCATTTGCAGACAGCTGCAGCGCTGCTGGCAGCCATAACGATTTGGAAAACAGTAAACGTATTGGTAAAAATTATGCTTCACACAGCTATCAAATCACCGTCATACGACTGCTTGATACCCTGGGTAATAAGGAGCCTATAATATTCTGATCACAAAAATGTGCTCATTCCGCTAACGGTAGACTTCATTTGGCAAGGTAGGGTATACCGTAGAAAACAAAACATAAGATAGCTAGAACTTGGCGTACGATCAAAGAGGTGGTGTTTCCACATAAAATCAATACCATTTCAAGGCACTGAACACTGATTCCAAATCTGTATCCCTTGTTTGATATGCGCCTTTCAATGCCAAGATATAAGAGCTTTTCTAGAGCGAAAAATCAGTGCAGGATCTCGTTAAAATTGACCGTCGCTTTCCCTCTACCACCCAGATAGTGTCAGTATAAGCGTACTAGGAGGAATTTCGCGACTACAGAGTGTCTTGATATCCAATATTGGCACATAGATTTGTGTGCAGCGGTACCTTTGAATTTTCGCAATGCTCAAAACTACATACGCCCAGAAGCACATAGCAGATACCGAGGACAGATTTGAAATCAGCGTTGAATCTTATATATAAAGCTGAATGTCTGTTTGTCTGTCTGTCTGTATGTCTGTCTGTATGTCTGTCTGTATGTATGTGTGTACGTATGTTCCGAATAGAAAATTCCATTTCTGAACCGATCGGGACCAAACTTGGCACACATACACTTCGGGCCCCGGCGGGTGTCATAGGCTACTTTTCGTCATCGATCGATATCGATTTTATCGATTTTTATCGATTTTTTTGCTGAGTGCACCTACGGGGCTGGGAGTTGGCACAGGGGGGTAATCGAGCATGGGGATTCCGAATACAATATTGGTTTTCAGGGTTATCGATTACTTTTATCGATTTTATCGATTTTTTTGCAAAGTTTGAGCTACGGGGCTGGGAGTTGGCACAGGGGGGTAATCGAGCATGGGGATTCCGAATACAATATTGGTTTTCAGGATTATCGATTACTTTTATCGATTTTATCGATTTTTTTGCAAAGTTTGAGCTACGGGGCTGGGAGTTCGCACAGGGGGGTAATCGAGCATGGGGATTCCGAATACAATATTGGTTTTCGGGATTATCGATTACTTTTATCGATTTTATCGATTTTTTGCAAAGTTTGAGCTAGGGGGCTGGGAGTTGGCACAGGGGGGTAATCGAGCATGCTGATCATCCCCAAGGGGGTGATCAGCATGCTCGATTACACCCCTGTGCCAAATTCCAGCCCCCTAGCTCAAATTTTGCAAAATCGATAAAATCGATAGAAGTAATGGATAATTCCAAAAACTAATATTGTATTCGTAATCTGCATACTCGATTACCCCCCTGTGCAAACTCCCAGCCCCGCAGGTCAAACTTTACGAAAAAATCGATAAAATCGATAAAAGTAATGGACGATCCTGAAAACTAATATTGTGTTCGTAATCGGCATGCTCGATTACCCTTCTGTGCAAAATCCCTGCATCGCATGTCAAAATTTACAAAAAATCGATAAAATCAATAAAAGTAACCGATAATTCTGAAAACTAATATTGTATTCGGAATCCCCATGCTCACTTCCCCCCTGTGCCAACTCCTAGCCCTGTAGGTGAACTCTGCGAAAAAATCGATAAAAATCGGTAAAATCGACATCGATCGATAACGAAAAGTGGACTATGGCACGCGCCGGGGCCCGAAGTGTATGTGTGCCAAGTTTGGTCCGGATACGGCGGAGCCGGGTAAGCCAGCTAGTCTCCTATAAAACAGTAAAGAGTTCATGCGAAAAGACCATTTCACTATGAACACTTCCCTTGTTATTGAGGAAGTTGGATTGCTAATTACAAGCCTTGGACATTTTCTATCGTATATCCTAATGTAGGACCAAGGGCTACGGTAGCTGAGGTTGGGAGCGGGGAGGATAAATGAACGAGAGAAATCAAACTCAGAGCAAGATCTGTAACATTTAAGAGATCCTTCGAAACTCTTACCTCTTCGGAGTGTGGATTTTTTGCTCCTGGTTAAGTTTCCGTGCGGTTCGACTTCCTTGCTCGCCATTGCTCACTTTCACCTACAACGCAAGACCTCGTCTTTTCGAAAGAACTCCATATTGCAACAGAATTACAGAATGAGAGTATGGCAGATGTGCACGGTAGATACCGCTTTTCAAACACCAAACTTTTTCGACTTAACGTTCTGTATTATTCCTCCACTATTAATTACGTGAAGTCGCGTCAACTTACTAGTGATTGGTGCCGGTGCTTGTGCTTCTGAGACCCCGGACGTATGGTGCATCCCCTAGAATAGTTCTCATATGAACTCAACATGGCTGTCTTCCGATCATTTTAACATGTTATTTCGAATAAGCGCCTCAACTCTCCTGGAAGTTAACATGTTAAAACGATCGAAAGGCAGCCACGTTGACGGTTCATATGGGAACATGGGGAATGCACGATACCTCAAGCGATTTCAGCCGCGATTCATATGGGACTTGGCAATACTCCATTTGCTTATAATTCGTCACCAACTCAATTTGAGCACACGGAAAAGCACACTTTATCGCTGCTGAAGCTGAATACACCAAGCATTTGTGGTGTACAAGTGTGGGGTTTAGAGAAATGTGGCAAATGGCCAAATCGCGTTGCGACGAAATCGTGAAAGGTGTGTGCAGGGCCTGGAATGTATGTAGGCTCAGCACACACAGTAGAGGTCCTGATGCATTTATTGTGTGACTAGAACATGCAGGGACGTCTTGCACAGTGTGATAAGCGAACCAAACATGCTTCTCATCTGCTGGTCTCATGTTAATATATCTGCACCATTTCGGTATTGTTTTGAAAGACCCCAAGCCGCCATCCTGACTAGGAAATGATCAGAACTTAGCTCAGCCATTCCAAACAAGCTGTAACTTTAGAAAATGTATGCAATATCAGACATCACTTAACTCAGAATGAATGATGCATCCGAGAATCCAGTAGACTGCAAAGAATAGTAGGACGCATGAAATGATGTGCATATAGGTCCCGTAGGGAGAACGCATGAAGCAATGCGCGAAAATTTACATTTCGAAGTCGCACGTTTTCGCTAATACAACGGTTTCAACGAGTTTTCACCCCTTTTCATCATCTAAGTTTCTAGTTGACCTGACAACTTTTTGACATAGATGGCTGATGAGATTGAAGTAGAGGATGGGTGGAATCAGTTGCAAGAAGCTGTAGAAACGTTGGTTTTATTCACTTTGCTTTTATGGCTAAAATTACTGAGTAGGTATGTTTTAGTGATGCAAACTATGATGAACGTGCACAGAAGATCAAATTCAACGATGAAATCGACGCGAAATTTGGATTCGAGCGCTACACCAGCACTACGGAAAGAGATGCGTGGTTGATAAACTTTCAACCTGTAAGTTCCAGTAGTTTACATGTGAATTGCAAGTTGATCAAGTTCTGACATGTATCGACTTGTAAATTTACAGGCTGAACTCATCGACGAACATACGAAAGCAATCATATCAGCTGTTGATTTCTACTTCATACAAGGAAATGGAGAGCGATTCAAGGTTGCTTTCATTTTTTATTTGTTTGTTTTTTATTCTTCATCTCGAACATATTGTACTCAATATTCCTAGAAGCCACATTTCTTTTTGAATACATCAAAATGTGTATAGGTCTTAATCACAGTGCTATTTAGTTTTTTTCTGTTATTCTTTTATTTATTCCTCATTTTTATTTTTTTTTTATTTCTTCCTCGTTTGGACGATACTGCACTCGATATTTCTGATTATGCCACTGTCTTCTTTTGATATAGGTCTTAATCAAAGTGTTGTCTTTTCTTCGTGCAGAGATTTGCAATTTTTCCTCAATCGTGGTATGATTTAACTCAGAATTTGTTGATTTCAGATATCGTATCCATTCCGTCCCTATTTCTTCATCAGTACTAGTGATGGTGCCGAGCATCAAGTTGCTTCATATCTTACTAAAAAGTATGGCGGCTTCCTAGTCGTCGAAATAGTACAGAAGGAAGATCTCGATCTAGTAGGTTTATACTTGCAGCAGATCAAGGTTACATATCCACGTATTTTAGAAAAACCACTTGTCCGGACTGAAAAAGACTTACTTGAAGCTAACATTTCCTAGCACTAGTGAATTAGCAAAAGTCAAGAAAGATCTCACGCCTCATATACGCAAGAATAAGGAGAGAGTCAAGAAAGAGTCACAATACTGCTCATACTTGGCAAGGTGCTTATTGAGGTACAACTACAATTCTATGTTTTATCCACTTTTTTCAGAAACATGGGTGGATCTAAGTACGAAATCCAGTCCAATGATGTATTTACGGAGATCCTTGATATCAGGTATGTGCAACTGACGTACCTTGACTGCTCTTACTACACAAAGTTTCTAGAGAACATGACCTGCCTTACCACATGCGAGTCGCCATTGATGAGAAGTATTTCGTCGGTAAATGGTATACAGTGAAAGGAATCAGTTCTGACAGGAGACCGAGTATTATTGCGTAAGTTTACTCTACTCAAGGCTTACTGCAAAATGTATCATTTTGATTCAGTCATCCAATCCTTATCGACCCTATTGATCCCGTCGTATTGGCTTTCGATATTGAAACAACGAAATTGCCGCTAAAATTTCCGGACTCGGCTAGCGACGAAATTATGATGATTTCATATATGGTGAGATTTTTGACAAAGTCTTTTCCCTCGAGAAGTGTCTCGAATTGCTTGTAGTAAAACTCATTCAAATATTTCACCTATGTGTTGACAAGTTTCATTCTAGATTGATGGCAAAGGCTTCTTAATCATTAACCGCGACATCGTTTCCGCTGATATAGAGTCATTTGAGTACACGCCTAAAGAAGAGTACAAAGGAGTGTTCCGCATTTTCAATGAGGCGGACGAGGAAGCAACGATCAGAAGGTAATTACCAAAATTTTTGCCACCGAAGTTCTTAAGGATTGCTCCTTTAGGTTTTTCCAACACATCCTCGAGGTCAAGCCAAATGTGATTGTAACTTATAACGGAGACTTCTTCGATTGGTAAGTGGGAAGGCGAATCAGCCATTTTTCAAACAATCTGGCTGAACACATCGTATTTCAGGCCTTTTGTCGAAGCAAGAGCTCGCATCCGCGGTATAGACATGGAAGATGAAATTGGCTTTGCAAAAGACTCTGCGGATGAGTACAAAAGCAAAAATTGTATACATATGGATGCCTTCAGGTAGACCTCGGAAAATGTTATTCTTAATCTGAACTTTTTTGACGCTTCAGGTGGGTGAAGCGGGACTCGTATCTTCCTGTTGGCAGTCAGAATTTGAAAGCTGTCGCCAAAGCTAAATTGCGCTACGATCCCGTCGAAGTGGATCCAGAAGAAATGTGTAAAATGGCAAGGGAAGACCCTCAGGTAAGCGTTTGAATCTACACCAGATTAAATTCTTCTTCTATATTGACACATTTATCTCAGAGTCTTGCGAATTACTCGGTTTCTGATGCTGTTGCGACCTACTATCTATACATGAAGTATGTTCATCCATTCGTTTTTGCGTTGTGCACCATTATTCCGCTTGGACCAGATGATGTGAGTGTTCATTCATTGGAGATTTTGGGTTTTTCTGCTTTTTCTGCTCTTGCTTTGAATTTTTTAATCTCACGGTAAAAGTCGCTTATCTCGTCTTCTGTACACGACTGCCTACCTTGGTCAAAAAAAATTGAAGTGTCTGCTTCGTTGCTTTGAAAACGCAAGACGCATGCTAATTCTTGAGAAGAATGGATCAACACCAAGTTGTACCTAGGTTCTTCGCAAAGGCTCAGGCACTTTGTGTGAAGCCCTGCTCATGGTGGAAGCTTTTCACAACAATATCATTTTTCCAAATAAATTTACTGGGGATGGTGAGGCCAAGATGACGAAGGATGGACATCGGTCAGCTTTGCAGTAAATTCTTATGCTGCCAATGTAACGACCTTTTTATAGGGTTGAGTCCGAAACATATGTTGGCGGACATGTTGAGGCTTTAGAAGCAGGTGTTTTTCGCGCTGATATTCCGTGCAAGTAGGTCAAATGGTTTGTTTGTCATGACTGTTTCTTGAAAAAGAATTTCAGGTTTCGACTGTCGCCTGCCGCTTTGAAAACTCTAAGAGACTCTGTCCCTGACACTATTGAAAAAGAATTGATTCGAGAGTTTGGCATACCACTCGAAAACGTAGTAGACTTTGAGGAGAGGGTGAGTGGAATGTCTACAGATCTCATTGTATGGAGCGTCTTTTTTTCCAAATCATCTTGGTTACAGTGTGCCGAGATTCAAGAAGTGTTTGACCACCTGCTGGCCATCCCAGCTAGGTTTGTCTAAGTTTGCACTTCTTCATAGGTCCTTCATAAATGACATTCTCTAGAATGGAAAATCCACGAATCTATCACTTGGATGTTGGTGCGATGTATCCAAACATTATTCTTACTAATCGGCTTCAAGTAAGGGTTTTACATGAATCCTTACTTTTCTCTTCTTTGATAATGAGAAATTTAGCCCAGTGCCATGATAAACGAAGAAACATGCATGGCTTGCACGTACAACAGGCCAGATGCTAAATGCAAACGTGTCATGAGCTGGGAATGGAGAGGAGAATTGAGTGAGTGCACATCTTGTTTTGGATCTTGTGGTTATTATGTCCCATTTTAGCTCCTGCAACGCGTGGAGAGCTGCAACAAATTATTCAGCAGCTGGAAGGAGAGACTTTTGGCAAGCCTCCAAAAGCTTTTCATCAGCTAGATAAAAATGAGAGGCAAGCGATTGAGAAAAAACGAGTGCAAGGTGCGTCTTTTACAGCGTAATAAGCCGACTTTGAATAATGCTGCATAGTAGTTGCATGATGATCATTTTCATGTGGTTATTATTATTTGTTATCATTTTATTTGTCCTGTAATCTTTGCATTTCCTTTTATTTTATTGTCAGCATGGTTATAGTCCCCTTACAAAAAACATGTTCATCATTTTAGACTACAGTCGTCGTGTGTACGGAAAAACTCACCTTACCCGTCTTGAAATGCGACAGACTATGATCTGCCAGCGTGAAAATGCCTTCTATGTCGACACAGTGAAAGCTTTTCGCGATAGACGGTACGCCGTTATATGGTCATTTGTCTCGCTAGACCTAACTTTACAGATACGAATATAAAGAGTTACTGAAAAAGGCAAAAACCTCGCTGGATGAGATGTCGAGAGATGATATAGCGGGAATCAAGGCTGCACAAGGTGAGCTAGTAGTGCTTAGGTTAGTAATAACTTTTGCAAGTATTTGACAGCTTTAGGTCGTGTGGTACTGTACGAGTCTCTACAACTGGCTCATAAGTGTATTTTGAATTCATTCTACGGATATGTCATGAGGAAGGGAAGTAGATGGTAAATAAGGAAAAGATTCTGCTGACTTTCGTACGGACGGACGATACTTTCAGACGGATACTTTCAGGTTTTCTATGGAAATGGCAGGCATAGTGTGTCACACTGGTGCTAACATCATCATGGAAGCGAGAAAGCTCATTGAACAGATTGGAAAACCGCTAGAGTTGGATACCGATGGTAATCTTCTACCTCGATTTTTTGAAAGTTTTAGTGAATTAGAGGGATTTAGGTATATGGTGTTTGCTTCCGGCTTCGTTTCCGGAAAACATCACCTTCAAACTCCAGAATCATAAGAAGAAATCTGTGAGTTCTAATAAATTCTTCAACTCCTTCTTGCTCATTGGTGGGAAGGGTTAATTTTAGGTTACTGTATCCTATCCTGGAGCGATGCTAAATGCTGCTGTAAATGCTGGATTTACAAACGATCAGTACCATAATCTCCAACCTGATGGATCTTATACGATTACCAAAGAAAATTCGATCTTTTTCGAGGTGAGCCCAGAAAAATTCGAAATTTTTGGTGATTGATATTAAATGTTCAGGTTGACGGTCCGTACCAATGCATGCTGCTACCAGCATCCAAAGAAGAAGGCAAGAAACTCAAGAAGAGGTTGGTACCTCATTTTTTTGTGTAGAATATGACATCTAAAGTAGAAATTTTGCAGATATGCTGTCTTCAATCTAGATGGATCTCTGGCCGAACTGAAGGGATTTGAAGTGAAACGTCGAGGAGAGTTGAATATCATCAAGCACTTCCAATCATCTGTCTTCAGAGCTTTTCTTCGTGGAAATACACTTGCTGAGGTAGACTTTGACTTGCAGTAGTACTGCATCTGCAGGGCATCGAAATGAATCCATCAGAGGAATAGCCTTATTTAGGTCTATGAGAGCGCTTCCAGAGAAGCCGATTACTGGCTTGATGTTCTGTTCTCCAAAGGAGGAGAACTCGCAGATGCTGAGCTGTTTGATCTCATTTCTGAGAACAGAAGCATGTCAAGAAAGCTGGAAGACTATGGAGCACAGAAGAGCACCAGTATTAGTACAGCAAAACGGCTTGCAGAGTTTCTGGGTGCTGATATGGTCAAGGTTAGCTTCGCTAAACTTTTTGCTATGCGCTTGAAGTAAAAGTGAAGGTTGTGATTTGAGGACGCAGGTCTTGCTTGCAAGTTCGTTATCTCTCGACATCCGTTGGGTACTCCGGTGACTGACAGGGCTGTTCCCATTGCTATCTTTTACGTAAGTTGTTCTTATATTGAGATGTATTTGAGTTGCTAAGTACCAGATAATTTTCTAGGCCGATGAAAAAGTTCGACTTCACTATCTTAAACAGTGGACAAAGCAACCCTCACTTACTAGCGAAAAGATCAACATCAGAGAAGTAAGGCTTTATTTGAACTTCCTATTCCCTCAGTCATTTTATTCACTATTCTCTCTTCTTTTCCATCATTCTTTTTGATCTCTAGTAAGATCTCTCATCGTTGAGAGGATGAGGGGAAGTGTGGAGGTAGTTTAGGAGAATATTTTATTGTTAAAATTCTTCTACGTGACTAAGCGATTTCAGCTTCTTGACTGGGATTATTACATCGAACGCCTTGGCAGCTGTATACAGAAAATCATCACCATTCCTGCGGCTTTGCAAGGATTGCCTAACCCGGTTCCTAGGGTGCCGAACCCGGATTGGTTGGACAATAAGATCAAAAACAGGTAGGTCTTACAACGTCGAAAAAACTGTTTTGAGGTTTTCTCTGTACACAAATATCATGACTTATAATAACGGGCTAAGGATGTTTACGTGACTTTGTGTGTGTTTGTCTGTCTGTTACGAAATTCGTGGAGCGTGTTCCAGCCAACGTTCTAAGCCCAAATTTTGTATAGCGCATGCTACCTTCGCGAAAGTCCAACATGCAAAAGCACGAGTAGATTCGTTGAGTGGATCCCTCAGAATTTGCGCGCCAAACGGGTCCACCTGGCTTCTGTACCGCAAAAGTCGGTGCGTATCACTACTTTTTGCAGAGTCGTGGATGAGTTTGGTAAGCAAATGTGCAAGCGATGGAGTTTAGCCAGAAAAGTGGTCGAAAGTTTACTACATAACGAAAACGGCGCCATAACGAATTGGTTGTGTAAATGGTCAATGCCAAGGTTTTAGCTAAGCGTTTGAGAAGATTTTCGCACAGAGATGTAGCTCACGGTTATCGTTACCTTTATGGCGACTACCAAGTCATGACAAACCCAAAAACCTATTCAAATTTGCGTTTGTCTTCCTGCGAAAAGTTTCATACACTCGAAATCACCGATCTCACGTGAAAAGATTTTCTAAATGAGTGGTTGTTTACATTTTATTCGTGGTAGTCGGCATAGTGCGGTGAGTTCCACTGCCACGATTTTACGAGAATGAATAAGGCACATAGATAGTAGAGCCAGTGCGAACCTCTGCGAAGCAGAGGTGACGCACTGGTGACACTAATATTGGCCTTGTAGATTCGATGCTATCCGGCAGCCAAGAATCACAGACCTTTTTCAAAAGCGTCCGCCAGGAGAGAAAAGTCCGGTGACAAATGAGTACGGCAAGCGGTATCATAACAATCAGGAGCAAGTAGATGAAGAACCTGTGAGAGAGGAGGACAAGGAAAATATGCCAAAGAAACAGAAAGCGGTAAATTATAGCAGCTGTAGAATTATTCATCATCTCAGTTGTTTTTCTAGCTAGCTACCACATCTGCGGCTAATACTGCCATTGTGAGAAAGACTTTGGCGCATGATGGTTTCGATGAATGGTTGAGGTATCTGAAGAAAAAGTGGAGAGTACTGAAAGTGTCCAGTATGCGAAGTAGAAGAGAAAAATGTGAGTCATATATGGCTGTCTCGAATTCCTTTAAGCCGTAGCCCCTATTTAGCATCTACCATGGTGGAGCGTATGATATCAAGCACACGTGAAGCGATGCGTGATAGAACTTGGCAGGTATGTATAGACAAAAATCATTTTTGTTATAAAATATCGATCACGATTTGATACAGAGCCTTATCAAGCAAATAAGCAGATTAAAGCTTAGCAATGATTATACGAGATTTTCACCCTGTCATGTTATGTTTCCTCTTATCATTTGTTTTTTGAAATGATTGTTGACACTCTACAAAAGAATAAAGAACCAAATTATTTTAAAGACCGAAAAACGTTATTCCTTTTATAGATTTTGTCGATAGATGAAACACAATCACCTGGCATCTTCAATCTTTGGGTGGCTTTGGAAGGTAGAATGGATAGATTCCAACTGAGAGTCCCACGTTTAGTGCTGATCAATGAGAAGGTAATTGGATCACAAAATTACTACATTGATAGATGATTTTCTCAGGAGCCGATAGAAGGCAAGGAGGTGGTGAGGCGAGTACTCCCTCATCAGAAAATCGTTCACTACCTCTATGAGTACTCCATTACCGGGGTGGGTCGAGTTTTTATGTACATCGCTGTTATCTGATATCTGACATAAATATAAATTTAGAATACTGAACAGAAACTAATGGAAGAGATCAATGTGAAGCTGTGCTGCTCTCGTGTAGAGGGTATATACGAATCGCAAACGCCATTGATGTTTCGAGCTCTGACGCAAATTGGATGTCTATGTCGACCTGTAGCTCCACCAATGGGTGGAGTCTATTCGCTGGAGGTATGCCATTTTGTTATCTACACATTGTTTTGTCAGCGGCGAGGGCTTCAAATTGATCTACATGTGTGTTAAACTTCGCAGGTTATTTGACTTCGTTTGTAAATAACTCGAAAAATTTTATAGATTTCTTAAGAATTTGGTAAGCTTCATAGAGAAAGTTTCTATCCTTACCAGTGAAGCAGTAATATAAAGGTGCTATTTGCAAGAGCGCTGTTTCGGGACCGGCTGCGGTTTTGCGCTATTTGATGTTTTTTGAATTGGCTTTACGATTCCTTATATATTAGAGATCTCAAAATTCCTAGGTAAATTCGTGCAAAAATGCAAAAGTACTCTTTAAGAATTTTTTGCAACCAGGAAGTTCCATTAACAAAAGAACTTCCTCCATTCCCCTTCGGAAAAATTTCAGTGACCCCGATCTAAATTTTTTAATGAACGTGATTGTACTGATATTAACGATGATCAATTCAGACCCCTTAGATTCTATAAGAATTTAATAGGCTTTTTAGGAAAACTTTCGTACTCTTATCTCAAAATTTTCAAGGTAAGTTCGTGCAAAAAATGCAAAAATTATCCTCAAGAATTTTTACAACCAGAAAGTTTCTCCATTTCCCTTCGGAAAGATATCTGTGACTCCACTCTACATTTATATGAGCGTGACTGAACTGATAACGACGATCATTTTAGACCCTAAAAATGATACCTCTATCCGCCGGACAAACCTCATATCTTTCCAACGACTTGATTCATACAGTATTTTTGTACAGATTTACGCAGGTACTCTTGGAAAACTTATATTTTAGCCCTTTTTGAAGTGTCTTTTCCACAGGATACTAGGCAAGTGTGGGCGGTAATTGATACCGAATCCTCCACCGGTTCGTTCTTCATAGTTCAAAGAGGAGATCTTACCATGCCAAACATGGATCGAATTTATGCTCAGACATTTTTGGAAGAGTAAGTAAGGAGAAACACTTTTTTGGATAATACAATCTACTGTTTTCAGGAAGGATCAGTTAGTATCAAATGCTATCCAACCGGCGATCAAATTCAATACTAAGCATTTTCGCGTAGTGGCTGAAGCTGAGAAGGAGATCAATAAGGTCTTTTTTTGTTGCAGATAACAAGAATATATCGCTCTTCTTACTGTTTCATGCGTATATTTTTTAGGCCATTCGTTTGAGTCGAGAAGCGACAGCTAAACCCACAGTCTCGTGCTTGCTAGTCGATGAAGAACCTAGACTTATGGTGAGAAATCATTCCTTTTCCAAGTAAAGTTGTGTATATAGAAAATAGCGAAAAATATGGAAATCATCTTGATCGGTTGGAATGTCTTCATACTGTAAAAAAGACGTGGTTATCACTAGATTCGGCAATATTCACATCTGTCGAAAGGAACTATACAGCGCTGGGGCTGCCACTTCGTGCTATTCCAAATGAAATCCTCGGTTCTTTTCAAAAAAATTTCTTACATCCCACTGCAGTCATTTTAAATACAGTTCAGAATCAAAAGGTTTCGAAGAATACAGTTAAATGATAAGCGTGTTGCAGATGAAGAGACTTGTAAACCTCAACCTCTTCCCCCATGTACGCATCCATGTTCAAGAACCACACGCTCTGTTGAATGTTATGGAGTGGCAACGAGTGGTGGCTAAGCGCATTTGCAAGCACTATTTCAACAGTTTTATCTATCTCAAAGTAGGTTTGGTTTTCCTTTCATGTAGCCTGAGCAGCTGCTCATCTCTGCAGGACTACGCTGACTGGGCGCGATACCTTCACGTCCCGATAGGCAGCGTTCCAAGTGATGCTGGTCTATTCGGGCTGGATCTACTGTTTGCCCGACATCTTCAACGAACCGGTCATGCACTGTGGGCGTCGGCAGCGAGCAGACCCGATTTGGGTGGCAAGGTGAGAATAGCATAACTTCATGAAATAAGTGTAACTATTGGTTAATTATAGGAAATCGACGATCTTCGTCTCACTTCAGAATGGAAGCCTTTGACGAAGGATGAGACTGTGCTGCTAAATAATCCTGCATTCTGCGGAACCGTTTGCGTTGAATTTGAATTGGAAGCAGTCGCAGTGAGTTCTGAGTAAAATTGCTTATCTGTTATTCAATTTTCCTGTTTCACGCGCACCTAATAATCAGATATATCAATATCAGTGCTAAAGAGTCCACCGCCAGCAAGGCTTACAAGGGAATGGTCAGAAGTCGAAGTGGCCAATCCATACAAGCTGCATACCAATCGATGCAGCATAGAATGCTGACATCAAATGTGCCTTCCGTATCTGCAGAGCGCCTTTGTGGGCGAAGTTATGAGCAGCTTTACTGAGGAAAAATCGTCCACAAAAACTGCGAAATTAGGCAGATCACTGCTCTTTTAGCTCACCTTTAGGTACGAGCCATATGAACTGACCTAGTTACACGTTTTGGTCCAACACTGAGCCGAGAATGGCTTTGTACGGCCAAGTTTGACCTTTACACGCACAATTTCTTAGCAAAATGATGACATTTAACGGCTCATAACTTCGCCTACAAAAGCGCTCTGCAGATAAGGAAGACAGATCTGAAATCGGCATTCTATGCTGCATCGAAAGGTATGCAGCTTGCTTGAATTGGCCACTTCGATTTCTGACCATTCCCTTGTTAGATTTCTTAAATGGCCATGTCACACCGTGACGTTTTCTATTTGCACTTTTTTGATAATTGGCAACCTAGCTATCCTGCCCTAATATAGGTAACCGCACTGGTACAACGAGGCCGTCTTCTAGAAGCAGAAGGAGCTGACGACACTGTAGCATTCGATTCCAGTATAGCATTGCCATCAGATGCTTTCAGTGGACTTAGGCGAGTATTTAACATCTTATCAGCTCTCGGAATTTCAGCATTTCAAGTCACGTTATTTTAGAAACACAATCTCAGCTTTTGATGAAGGAGCCGCTGTCGATGCTGCGCTGAAAATATTGAAGCAAATGTTAACGGATTGTGTGCGCGATATCGCCCAAGGCGCAAATAAACGTGCTGATGAGGTGGTCATGTCACTCAGCAGGTATGGAATACGATATCTCCTGTTGCGAGATCTGTCTGAACGTGGCTTTACAGATGGCTGCATTCGCCAGATTCTTTGCTATTTGACCCAGCTATCACCAGAAGTGTAAGCATTTTAGAGAGGAAATTAGTCCTTCTTTTAGCCGCTGAATGTGAGCGGTTAGGGGCAAAGGTGAGGAACGCATTTGTCAGTTATTTGCATCTACATTTTGGTGTTTGTGTTCCAGATTATACATGCGACACCAACAAAACTGGTATTAGATACTGGCAAGCGTGAACAAGAGCAAGGTACCGCGTTCACAGAGCTGCTTCTACAATCACTTGGACAGAATCCACTCTTCGCTGCTCTGCACATGACACCCGCACATCGGTGGACCACCCTGCTGTGGTATAACGGATACAATCACACAGGTAAGTGCTCTGGAATCCGTACCTGCGCATTCATCTTTCATAAGCATGTTTTTCAACATGTTTGTACTTTTTCGAGTTCTTAGTGATTTTACCTGAAATTGAAGGTGTCAGCAGTGAGACTGTCGAAAACAACTCTGACAATGGTGAAACACCGGAAGCATCTCAAGCCAAAGTTGAGACACTGGTAAGCTATTTTTTGGAAAAAAAGTGTCATTATGCTTATTATGCTTACATCGCAGCATCATTGGCGATTAGCTGATAATCTACCGAACGAAGGAGCGGTGCGAGAAGAGTTTCGTAAAATCATAGTGGGATATGTGACATTATACATGCAGCAGCAAACTAAAGAGGTAAACTTGATTAACAGTCTCATTTTTTTCCGTGATTACATGAGTTTGCCTTCCAGGACTTCGATGAGGAGAAAGCTATCGCTTTTCGTGATGATCTTGTTAGAACTCACATTGGACATAGACTGTTCCGAGTTGTTTCAAAGTTGACTGGACAGAGAGTGACACATTATTCAGCAGCGTGTTTGGTGAAAGTGGTGAGTGCGATTGACAACAAATACGCCTTCTGCGTTGAGATTATAAACTTCAGATTAATCACTCTTTCACTCGTTGCCGAAATAAAAGATGATAAAATCAAAAAAAAACTGCGTAGTCAGAAAACATTCGATTAGGAAGAACAACCAGGAACAATTATGCATATCCTTTCAGATTTGTACAGCTTTATCCTGTGATGCTGCAGTGGAAGACAGCGTGGATGGTCTACGAGAGAATTTACATAGAATTTTGGACTCTAAAGAAGAACCTCCCACAAAAGATACTGTCTATCTGTCAAACGTATTCTGTAAGAACTGTTCCATAGCTACAAATATCGATGTTGGCGACGAATTATCATGGAAGTGCAAAGAATGTGGACAGGTACGCATAAGGCTTTTGGAAGATTGTCGCAGAAGGAGAATCCTTTTTTTTCAGTCCCTAGTCAAATCAACTATTGATGAGACGATTGCTGAAAGGCTGAACAAACTGATGACTGCGTACCTATTGCAGGATCATGTCTGCAGCAAATGCAAATCGGTAAGTCTCGTGGTTTTTTTTACTTTCATATTTTAAGCCCTGAGTGAGCAATAGCATAATGAATAGCACTTTGATTACATATTGAGTGCTAATTAGAAAATTGTGATTCTTTCATAGTCTTGAGGAACACTGTTTACTTGGTGACATTTGAGTGCTTTCCTAATCTTATCGTCAGTTAAAAAAAATTATCAAACATGAAAAATATGCAGTTGTGCAAACGATGTGAACTGATATATTCCGAGCCAGCAACAGTTTTCTTTTCATTTTGAAGTACATTCTCGTCATAATGATTCAAAACGATTCAGATTCGACGAGACAACCTCTCCAAGTATTGCGATTGCTCGGGTAATTTTGTAAATACTATTGAAGCTGCTGAACTGATCAAAGATGCAAGAGCCGCAGCAGAAGTTGGAGAAAAATTCGATCTACCGCTTACTGTTGAGATGAGTAGTTGGATATGTGCGGGAGTTACAGAGATGTAGTTGAAAACGGGTCCACCAACATCTTAGACTTATTTTTCCAAGAATGGATTTATGATCTCCTTGCCTTACGCTGTTTTCACTTTGTAGGATAACCTACTTGATGTTTGTACATACGTGAGTTTGATTATGCAACTGTGATTTTCTTTACTTTTATAGAACTGTTTAACCTAATAAATGCTAAAAATCACTATTAATACTTTTGTTTGCGAGGTCAAATCTCCACGAGATTCTCAATGAAAGATACCCATTTATTCATGATTTAAAAGCCATCATTGCACTTGAATATTAGCTGTTATTATCAGAATCACCAAAGATTGGGCCAAATAAGTGAAAGATGGTGACAGCGTTACATGCTCTGATATCACACAGAACTGGGAAGAAGAGAGAGTGAAGGACGGAAAAGTGACTGGAGTATTGCACAGGTATGACTGCTCAGCTGAGAAGCTCTTTTACCTAAAGTACATCTAAATTAACTTTCAATCTATACATTGCTACTATTATGGAAGTCCAAACGAAAAACATAATTTTTTTAAACATTTAATTAAGGGCTTGAGCTTTTATCTTGATCAAATTTTGTTATGCTTGAATTCCTTTGCAATATTTTCCCTGAAGCTTCTAAAACGACAGTTTGTAAAACCTACCTGATCAACAGACTTATAAGCAACATTTTCGTAAGCATTCGCGGGATCTTCCAACTTTTTGATAACAGCCGAGTATGCGGCGACTACATTGTCCACAGTTCTCTGCTTTACACTTTCCCTAAAATCGCAATTTCAATTCCAACTCAAGTAGAAGTGCGCCTTATATATTACCTAGTTCGAGCACTGCTTATCTTTGCAACTTGGTCAAGCTGGTACTTGTCCGGTTGAGCAAGGTAGGCGTCAAACTGTATTAATGTGTTATTTACAGTGGCAGCATCCATCCCAGAGATAGCAGATAGAGGACCCTGAATAAATTTTGCTTTTTACACTAGAAAAAGGGATCTGGGTGGCCACATCTGACTCACCTGACTTTTGTCGTGAGCTGAGGCTTTCTGATACAAGTGTATGAGTCCCGTATTTGCTAAAATTGTAGAAGCCTCTTCTGATACTAATACGTCTTCATTGCCTTCCATCTAAGAATGAATAAACAGAAGGGTTGTTACTCCCTTATAGAAGTCTTACCAGCGCTTTAATCATTTCAAGTCGTGAATCGGTGAACGGGTAAAGAATCACCAATGAGTGTATGGCTGACAAACAGTTCAGCGTATATACAGCAACATCTAGAAGAGTGATCAAAACTTAGGAAAGCTATAATAAAACATTAGATTACCTAGAGGTGAATGCAAATGTGTGGCAGCTACTTGCACTGATCTGTAGAGCGGATCTAACACACAGCTGAAGATCTGAAAAGCTAGCATAAAGCTTGCAAGATTTTACGTACCTTGCTCTGTCATGAAGACGAAAGAGAAAAAGAAGAAAACAGGATTTCCAAAAAAAAACCAAAATGAAAGTCATGCTCCTACCTTGTTGAACTCCTCTTCCGAATTTGTTCGACCAGCCATTGCTCCGTCGTGAGTCTCTAACACATCTCTGCAAAAAGTCATTAAGCTAAAACAAAGAGGCAGGAAACAAGTACTACACCTCAGTAGCATCAGAATCTGATGGACTGCTGGTACTGGCAGAAGATCGTAATCTGGCGCACCCATCTGAAAAGTGTACTCTGAGAGTCATCATCCATTGTTTTCATTGACAAGAGCTCATAAGCATATGCTTTGCACTTCATTCTATAGATGGGATTTCGAACAGTCCAACCTTCGACAGGATTTTTTGCACGGCTCCGTTAAGACCACTGTAGAATATATTCAGTGTGAGCTGATTGAGTTCATCAATTGTTCGCGAAAGTTCAGATTCAGGACCGATCTCTGGTCTAAAATATCATGCTATGACAACCTGATTCATCTAATCGTTGGCTGAGAAATAAGAAGTGATAACCAACGTCATCTTTTCCGAGTAAAAAGTGAACAACGCGGAAAGGCGATATAGGACAACAGAATCTGTTTCTCCTGCAAGGGCTTGCTCGACGCGGAGCTGAAAATGCTTTTTTGTCACATATTTTTGTGTACAATAATGAACCTGCCTTGAAGGGACGGCAGAGTGCGCTAGAAATTTGTGATAACAGGCTGGTCGAGTTATCGCGAATAACTAAAAATGCAAAATTAATCCTGGTTTCTGAACAAATTAGAAAGAAGAACACTACCTTGGGGATTGCAATCTTTCAAAAGCATTTGCAACAACTCTCTTTCACCTTCCAGCGCTTCATAAATCCATGCTAACATGTCACCCATGTATCTGGAAAAGGAAATGACAATCTTGAATCATACAAAGAGATAAAAGAAAGCCTGAATTTACCGTAAAGGATCGTGGCTCATCAGTTCAATAGGTTTGCCATTGCTGTGTGTGCCTTTTGTTAAAGCATCAATATATAGACGAAGGATTTGGTTTTTTCGGGCAGTGCAAATTTCATCTGGAAAACGCACTGGGCTTACGAAGAAATCTGTACAGAAATGCACTTGATCGTATTGCCACAGCGGTTGCAAGCCGCATGTGGTCTATCAATACCAAACTCACCTAAAGCGTACTTCAACAAAACTTCTCTTTCCTGCAAGGCGGCAAACGACTGGCATAAGACAGCCTTCATCTCTACGTAGTCAGCACTCAGAATTCGGCACTCTCCTGAAGATTTCCTTTGATTAGCCAGCACCTATCCTGTACTAAGTTCTTATGCGGAAAGATTTCCCTATTACTAAAAAAGGGTTATTTGCCAAAACGTAAATATGACAATTTCGAAGCGTTCTCTGGCTATGTAACCTCGAAAGAAGAAAAAAGCTCGAAAAAAGACAAAATTGGATGGCAATAACAGTAGGTCATATCTAGAGTAAAAAAATATGAATAAAAGGAAAAAGAAAATTTGTGCGACTAACAATTACTCACTTTGTATGCTCCTATATAAGACCTCGTATGCCTTCTCCAGAGTTTGAGACATCTCTTCCATGATCTCAACCCTAAATAAGACAATATGATCAACCAGTTGGATCCCTAAAAGCAAAAACTGCACTCACGCTGCGGAATGCTCGCCATTGCTGCGAAGGAGCTCCTTGCTGTCATTGTAGATCTCCCGAGCTCTAGCAAGAGCTGGGAAGAAATCGCTGTTTATTGTGCCGTCTGCAAATGAGATGGAATGAAAAAAGGAAGAAAAAAGCAAAGGACGATTATTTTAATGAAAATTATCACACTTTGTATATAAAAAAGTAAAGAAACTAAGAAAACATTCAAACCTTCTGCACAAAAAAAAAGAAAAGGAAACCGGACACGAAGGAGAAGAAAAAAAGAAGAAAAAGCTTCACCTTTGGAGCTCCCTTCTAATGCTCGTTTCTCAGCATCTGTGAGCGAGAACCTTCCAAGGAAATCGTCGATTGCCTTTTGTTTGGCTTCAAGATGTTTTCTAGATCAAAAGAATTTTGGAAATACTTTGATAATGGATATGAGAAGACTCACTTCTGGTTTTGTAAAGCACTAGTTTTGCTGAGAAGATCTTGCGTTTTCTCTTTGTTTTGCTGGATTCTGTTCGTAAGATCCGAACAAATTCTGTGCATTGTACGAACTTTTTCAGCAAAATCTTGAACATGTGCATTGACCTGCAATGAAGAGACAGCTCCAAGAATCGAAGTAAAGCTTTGCAGAACAAACCTTCTCGAATTCCTGGAGGTATTCCCTGTTAAGCTCCAGCTGTCTTTTCTCCAGGTTACGCAACAGTCGTCGTTCAGTGTGAATGTCAAGATTTTCAACCATTGGGGCCACATAATCGACAACTTTTATGAATTCCTGCAATAAAAACCGTCAAACGATGTGCGAAAATTTTGGAAAAAGCGATGCCAATTAGATGCAGAGGACAATGGCGAAATTAATATTCTTGAAAACTTCAAAATTTCTCTCAAATAACTGGGGTGATAAAATGCGTAATTTTGGCAGTAAGGTTGCTACGCTGAAGCTCGTATATTGAGATACTTCGGCTGGTCGAGTACGAAGGCGAACAGACCCAAAACTTCACACCGATATTTGGGTGTAGAGTGGCTTCCCAATTTTGGGTCATAGTGTAATTGCACCAGATGAAGTGGAATACACGCAGTCAAGGGTTCTACGTCTCCTGCGTGCCTTTTCTCAAAAATAGCAACCGAGGTTTTTTTTTTCGTGATATCACATATCTGGAGTGTTCTGAAGAAGAGAAAACTTGGAAATTTCTTTGTATCGGGACTTTGCAAATCATAATTAATCGGTTTTCTTCCTCATATGTGATACAGAGAAGGCCCTTAAGGACAGAGTAACCTACTTACATAAGAGTTAGTAGAAAAATTTCGAATGCCATAATAAAACTGAGAAAATCCCGAATCTTACCGGGTCATTGTGGAGCTTACTGGCAACCAGCTTATCAATCTTCCTTTTGATTGGATTCGTCACCGAGCCAGGGCCATCCACAGTTGCATTGTTAGCCGGCTGAGCTGAGGCTGGCTTTGCATCCACTTCAGTCTCCATGTTGTAGACGAGAGCTGGAGCCGGCTCGAAAGAGGAAACAGCTGGTGCCAGCCGGTCCACGTCACGAACGAAGGCCGCAAAATTCCGTGGGGCGCCCGGAATATTGCGTCCTTTGTTTTCATTTAGGCTCAAGAAATTTTCTTAATGGGTTGTTCTTGAGCATTTGTTCTGCTCTACGTTTATTCTTTGCGTGTTAGAAGTGCGAAAGAAACAGCGAAGCTGTTTATACTCGTTGTGTTCATACTTTAAGGTGCGCAAATCACTGCCAATTTCTTACTTGTTTTGGAGTTTGAGGGTATTCCCATGTTACGAGGTCAGATTTACCTTTATAACTTTCATTTTTTTGGATTTCATTGCTTTTTATGCCTGCGGACTTTGGTGTATGGTAATCTCCAAGATCTACAGAGTCGATAATTTTTTCTTTGCCTACAATCGTGCTATTTGGATGCTTTTCATAGATTATGATTTTCATTATCTTTTCTCAATGTCTTATATTTGCCAACGTCGTTCACAATTCTAGTTGTGAGATTGTGATGGCTCCTGTTCATTTGAAAAGGATTGTCAAGTAGTTTTCAGTAAACTCCTTATGAAATGGATGTTCTTGGCACGGCGCGTGCTTATATCAAAGAGATGGTCAATCTGGCTGGTCCTCAAATGAAAGTTATTCTCATGGACAAAGAAACGGTGCGTTTCAACTTTTTTTCGAGAAACTTTCACCAATAATCTTTTTTCAGACAACAATAGTATCATGTGCTTTTGCGCAGTCGGAAATGATGCAGAAAGAAGTGAGTTGACCTCAGTTATACTTTCTATTTTTTACGTTTTAATAATATTTGTTTGTGTATTTGTTATTCAAATACTCATTACATTCATATTACTCATGTGTTGCTTCAACCATTGCTTCTAGGTTTATTTATTCGAACGTCTTGACTCGCCTGTACCTCGAGAGGCAATAAAACACTTAAAATGCCTTGTTTTTGTTCGACCCACTCCTGACAATGTCCAGCTTCTGGCTTCTGAGCTTAGAAATCCGCGCTATGCGCAATATTATATCTGTAAGCTATTTTTCATACACTGTTTGTCAAGAGGTGTCTTTTTGTTTCAGATTTCTCAAATATCGTGAGCAAAACAGATTTGAAGATGCTTGCTGAAGCCGATGAGCATGAGACGGTCAGTCCTTCATTTGTCGTTGATTTTCAAATTCGTGCTACCCTTACTCCACGTCACTCTGTCTGCGATGCGATCGCATGGTACTTCGATCTCTTCCATTTGCATACTCTTTTTGAGCAGCCACGTAGGCAGCACCACGTTGCCAATTGTCCAGCTTGGAAAGTGGTTAATGATGTGCAGCACGTAGCTGACAGGATCGAGGTGACAAGCAATCCTCTCACAGAATGACATGGTAAACAGAGCACAGAGAACTCAGATTTAAGTTAATATAATTTGTACTTGATACTGTTTCGCATTTTTTCCTTTTCATCGGATGTATAAATTTTATTTTAAAATCTCTAAAATTCTCTTATCCCCTCCAACTTCATTGAAGTTTCATTTATGACGTAGTAAAGAGCGAAAATTGGCGCATATCAGAAGGGTTTGAAACAAAGTTCTTTGTTACCATATAAAGTTACAAGCCATTTGAAAAAAACATTCTTGGTTTTTTTTGAATTGTGCTCGACAAGATTTCAGGAATGTCTTCTGAAATCTAACTTCATTTTCGATCTCATTCTTATGTCCTACCTTTTCTAACTAAAAGTTCGTGGTGATTCGATGCTTTTACAAGTGTTATAATTTTAGAATTTTTACTCGAGTTCTTGATTTTCTTTTGAATAAATTCTCCAAAATGTATGTGAAAATATGCATTTGATAAATATCACAAAGATATTATATAGATAGATTGCCAGTTTCTTAAGCATTCTTTGGCAATACCCTTACTTTTCATACCTTCCGGAAGCACCTAGGCGCAATCAAGTCGAGCATACTAGATGAATTTCTTGCCAGTTGGTGCTTATATTATTTATCCTTTGCCCTTATTTTGGACTTATTTGTTATCAATCATCTAGCCATACTGAAGCTATTTCTGATGGAGTTTGATACATTACATTAACGGCATGATGTTGAAGGTCAGAGAAGTTCATGAGTTCTTCGTCGATGGCATTGCTCTGAGCCCTCCAATTTTCTGTATAAATATAAAAGAAGTCTACGACCGGTCTTTTCACCTTACACCAGCTGCATATCTGCGAATTAAACAGGCGCTTGTGGCGCTTTTGCTTAACCAGAAAAAGAAGCCAGTTATAAGGTAAGAAATTATGCAAAGGTGTTATGAAATGCATACATGCGAGATTCTAGATATCAGCGCACATCAGAGGATTGCAAAAGACTTGCTGACGATTTAAATCAGGTTGGTTTATATTCGCAGTTGTAAACGCCTATTAAGCAGATTTTTTTTACTCCTAACTTTGTGTTACATCCTGATACATGACATGATTTGAGGTAGTGCGACGTGAGGAAGGCCTATTTGATAATGCAAAACGCGACACAGTTCTTCTTATCATTGATCGAAGTGAAGATCCTGTTACTCCGCTACTGAATCAGTGGACTTACGAAGCTATGGTAAACTATCAACATTTCACGAAAAAACCACCGAGGATTTTATCAAACGTCCATTTTTCATCTGGCTTCTCAAGGTACACGAACTAATCACCATTAACAACAACCGTGTTGCCGTTGATGGGCAAAGCATGGTGCTGAGTGAACTGCATGACGAGTTTTATGCCAAGGTTAGTCAACTTTTTTTTCTAATTTCTCTCTCTCTTTTATTTCATTCGTTGCTAGACTACATGAACATCTTACTGATACTCCAATGTACTCGACACTGGCTCAATTCTAAATAGTTTTTACGCCGTCTTGCCTCACTAACAAGGGAAGAATACTTGGTCGGGCGTTTCCATATGAAATGTATACTATCTTATAGAGCATAAAACGCTGATTCCAAATCTACTTTCTTTATCTGCAAAGCGCTTATAGGTGGGGAGTTCTGTAAATTTTTTGAAGTAAAAATTCAATGATTTGGCAAAGGCAAAAAAGCCGTTGAGATCTCTTCGGCGTTTGAAAGGAGTAACGACTGACATGAGTTAGTTAGATTGAAGGTATTTATTGCATAAAAGGTCCTGGTAGTTATCGTGGTCCCATCTGAACTCAAGAATCAAAGTCCTGAATGCTTAAGTCTCGGAGAGGGCAGAATTTGAAAACTGGGACGAAATGGAGAATATTAGTTTCCTCTTTTTCTCTTTTTTGTTAAATCAACAGAATTTTTCTTTGGAGCGCATATTTTTTACATTTCAATGGTTAGCGAGAGCTACATTTATTTGGTTCTATTATATTTCCTTTGTTTTTCCTCAATTTCGACTGATTGCGTTTCAGAATGTCTCATCAAACTTCGGAGAAATTGGACAGAACATCAAAGTACTCATGAATGAATTTCAACAGAAGTCCCAAATACACAAAAACTTGGAGTCTATAGCAGATATGAAGAATTTTGTGGAGGAGTATCCACAGTTCAAGAAGATATCAGGTTTGCACTTCAGTTTTGATATAAGATGCTGTTTAAAGAACTTCCATATGATTAGGTACTGTATCAAAGCATGTTACGTTGATGGGAGAGCTCAGTAAGCTTGTTGCGAATCGAAATCTGCTGGAAATATCGGAGGTCTGATTTAATTTGCGGTTGTTTACGACTGGGCCCTTCTCAATTTTTTTCGGTTACATTGCTGTTATCATGTTCAGGTAGAACAAAGTATTGTTGCCGAAGGAGATCATTCGCGATGCTTAGAACGGATTCGATCTCTTATCAACCATCCTAAGACTACTAGCTTGGTCTGTAATTTGTGTTTATGTTGATCTGTTGGATTTCTTTGGAATGGGCTTTCAGGATGCCCTTCGGCTAGTGCTGCTTTACGCGCTAAGGTTTGAAGGCAATCCCAGCAACGATCTCAATAGCTTAGTGAATCTGCTCAAAAGGGTATGGTATCTTACATTCTTCTTCTAACACGACAACTCATCACCTGTACTTTCCATTTTTTGTGACTGCCTTATCTAGGATATGGACTCCGCGAATATAGTACGGTCTTTGTTGAAATATGGAGGTGCTGGGCGTAGAAAGACCGATCTTTTTGGAGAGGGGTCAACAATGGAATTGACAAAAAGGTAACCTATAATATGAGTTTTTTTCTGTTCATGGACAGTGGACTACCGATACTATTTGCCTTCTCTTCTGACGTCTTAGATTTAAATATGACGCTTTATAATCCTTTATACACCACTTGCACTTGCGCCAAAAATATTGATGGTCTTTACAAATGTGTTATTTAGGTTCATAAAGGGACTGAAGGGCGTGGAGAACATTTATACGCAACATGAACCGTATATCAAAACGATAATGGAAAATGTAGTCCGAGGAAGACTGTCAGAGCAACAATATCCCTATGTTAGTGGCGATAATGCTAAGTGAGTGAAGTCTTGAGCATTTTGAATATACATTAACCAAATCTTCTGCATTCGAAGTGGATCATCTCATCTGTACTTCTTTTTAGTAGCCGTCAAGACAATCTCATTATCTTCATCGTTGGTGGTGCTACATTTGAAGAGGCTTTATCTGTACGATCTCAAAATGAGAAACGAATGCAAGGTGGAGGAGGACCAGCAGTGTTGCTCGCCACAACATTCATGCACAATACTAAGAGGTACGTGTATCGGTTGTAGACCCTATCAATATAATCTATTTTTCAGCTTTGTTGATCAATTCTCGCTTTCATCCCCTTGGGCACGGTAGGAGACCAGATAGACATTGTTAACTATACTAATAATCCCAGACTTATCGCTGTGATGTGTTGTGATCTACTTTTTAACCAATGAGTATACTGTAGATAACGATCTATTATATGTATATCTGATTGTGCTGTACATAATAATAATCTAAGAAGAGTATAGAATTTTCTCCTGTATATTTTGTCGAGCGACTGTCTTTGCTGTTTTCATAAAGCTGAAAGATTTATATTTTTAGTGGAGAAAGTAACATAGTGATTCGTTTGAACATAGTTTGCTAAGTACTACCTATTTTTAGAGCATACTTAGGGCCGCATGCACTAACATTGCCGCGGGGAGGGTATCGCAGCTCAAAAGAAAGCTTAATATTTCGAAACTTCAGATACCTGAATTTCACATCGTGTACCTATCCGTAAGTATTCCTACTAACCTTCACTATGAACATGTTGAACAGGAGCGAGAAGCTTGTACGAGCCGCATTTTTCAGCTTTTGTATGATCTCTGATGATCCTCGGCGCTTTTCTTTGAAGTCATTTTTCTTTCTCCGAAGTTAACGAAATACTTCCAAAGTTGTGCAGATTATCTAACCCAACAGTGCTAAGCATGTTGCTGATAAGAACAAATGATGTTTTGAAGTCATGAAATTTTCGATGATCCACAGGTCGAAATTTGGGATTTACCGAAAAATTCGATTTTTTAAAATTCATTTGTTCTCATCAGCAATATGCTTAGCACTGTTGTGTTAGATGTTCAGTATAACTTTGGGAAGTTTTCGTTAACTTCGGAGAAACAAAAAGGACTTTAAAGAAAAGCGCCGGGGATCATCAGGGATCATACAAAAGCTGGAAAATGCGGTTCGTACAGCTTCTCGCTCCTGTTCAACATGTTCATAGCGAAGGATAGTAGGAATACTTACGGACAGGTAGACAGCGTAAAACAGATATCTGGAGCTTCAAAATATGAAGCTTTCTTTTAAGCTGCAATCCTCTCCCCAGCGGGAATGTTAGTGCATGCGGCCCTTAGACTCGAATTTTACACATCCAGGACCAGAACATTTTCCAATTTTTGCAGTTTGGTTTAGAGCGCATTTTTTGATTTTGAAGTTAAAGGCAGTGGTTTAGAGCGCATTTTTTGATTTTGAAGTTGAAGGCAGTGAATCGGCAAAATCCAACAGCTCAGAATTTTAAAGCGGTAGGTTCCTTATCGCTCAAGTATGAAAACAGTGCAATCCCGGTTGCACAGCATGCTTTCCCTGCCGAGAGAATCGCTGTCAAACTTACAAGCGCAGGCCAATCTTAGACTCATCTGGACGAGTTGGCAATTTCCTTCTCACCATTGGAAGCTGCCCGCCGCAACGCTATAACCATTGGGTCCTGCAACGATGCAACGTCGTCGGCCTTGCTCCACTCGTCCAATTCCAAAGGGAAGGGCATTGAAAAACGCTTATTTTCACCTTTTCAAGCTTTCAAAAGTGGATTTTCGGGATCAGTGTATTGAAAAACCCAGGTAAGCGCAAATTTGACTGGGTTGAGATTTGCCGAGCCACTGCCTTCAAGGTTTACGATGGGTTGTGTGGTGCGAAAAGGTGGCGCTTTGAAAGAGTCTCGAAGCCACTATTGACATCTCAGTGCGTTTTATAACTATACGACACCCCCCCCCCCCCCTCCTAACAAAAATTTGGGATTTCCGGATTTTCAGAAGAGATCGGGTACTCCAGTCAGTGCCTGTGTGATCTACATATACCTAATATTGAATAAGGAGACATCTTATCTATTTGTCTACTCATTTGCTTTTATACATGTAAAGACATGTCTATTCTCCCACTGTTCAGTAACTGTACGACACCTTCGAGTAAGATATATTTCCGAAGGAAAACAAAACGCAAAACGGGTTTTTTATGACTAACTGGGCCCATCGGGCCTTTCTACCACCTCTACCACTTCATTAAGTATATTGGAAATGCTTCTGACAATTTCATGCATGTTTTCGGTTCAGTGTATTGACACATGCGTCTATGACGAACTGCTCCAACTTTTTCAATGACTTCGTACTGCTTGCATCTGCTCAAAAACACTGTGCCAGTAATCTCCAGAAATTTACTGAAAGATTCAAGACAAGACAGTATGGTCACTTATACAGAAGCTGCTCGAGATGCTGGCGGACAATGGCGGTAAGTGACCCGCTTGCATGTTCACATGCTTGTGCTGCTGCGGAACGTAGTGCTTACAGGCGCTTTGTTGAGAAGATGACAGAAAAGATGAGCCAACTACGTGGTGATGTAATCTAATGAGAAATTCAATTTGGAACACTGTGACGGCTAGAGGACCGACTGGTCGGATGTGAGCAAAGGGGTGGAGGACTATATGTCGCTGAATATGGAAGAGTCCCGCGCGGATTACCTGCATGTCCACCCATGTACAAGGCTGCGTATTCGTCGCAAATGACCGCGGGGATCACCCTTTTTTGGCGACATGTAGTCCTCTACCCTGAGCTAAGTCCACATCATTTCAACAAAGGAAACTTTAACGGAGGGTTCCCTACTATCTGAGAGCATTTTGCGTGGTTCAAAAGCCTGAATTTCGATGAGAAATTTTGCGCGCAGATTGCCAAGAAGTACAGGAGAGACAACGACTGTACTCCTTCCTCGAGCGCCGGTGACAGCAGTGCGTTTCGCAATAGCACAACGCATTGAACATGCAAGCAGGTCACTTACCGCCGTTCTCCACCAGCATCGCAAGCACCATCTGTAAAGATGACCATACTGTCTTGTCCTAAATCTTTCAGAAAATCTCTGGATATTACCGGTACTGCTTCATGAGCAGATACAAACAGTATGAGTCGTTGAAAAAGTTAAAGCAGTTTGTTACGGATGCATGTGACAATTTTGAACCGAACACATGCGTGAATTTATCAGAAACATCTTCTGTAGATTTTGTGAATTGGTAAAAAGAGACCCGATGGATCCGATTAGTTACAAAAATCCCGTTTTGCGTTTTTGCTTTCCTTGGGAAAAGTATCTTGCTCGGAGATGCCGTGTAGTTATGCAACAGTGGAAGAATAGACATGTTTTTACATGTAAAAAAGGAAACGAGTTGACACCAGTGGCGGACCGAGGGGGGGGGGGGTGGGAGGCGGTCGCGAAATTTTTGAAACTTACCTATATGGGTTATAAAAATTTGCAAACGACTTGTTTATTTTTGTAAATAATTAAAATATTTTTTAAAATTGTTTAAAAATTCAAACGAGCCTTATAAAAATTTTTTTTCGGGGGCGTGACTGACGCCACGCCCCCTTTTTTCAGATTCTAGTGGTTGGGGCCGCAAAAATTTTGAGAAGCACCCCAAAAATTTTTTCGGAGTGCGTGGCTAGCGCCACGCACCTTCATCTGAAAATTTTTTTGTCCCCCCCCCCGGTCCGAAATCCTGCGACCGCCACTGGTTGACACATAGATAGATTGAAATGTTTCTTTATTCAAATAGTGAACCAGTAATCTAGAGGTGCTATTTGGAAGAGCGTTCGCTTCAGGACCGCCACGTGGTTTCGCGCTACTTGCAAATTTTTGAATTGAGTTAACGACTCTTTATATATTAGATATTATATGTAGATCACACAGACACTGACTGAAGTACTCGATCTCTTTTGTAAATCCGGAAATCCCAATTTTTGGGGTGTCGTATAGTTATGAAACGCACTGACTGATATGTTCTCTGTCTGAGCTTGCGAGTATGGAGTAAACCAGAGGTTTTATCGGAGAGAGGCTTATTGATACTGAGCATGCGGTAGTCGCCGCTGGAAATGCGCATCCGCATTTAGATCGATGTTACAACTATGCTGACCTGTGGCGACGTAAAGTTAATTTTGGTTCGCCTCGGACGACTTGGAATGAAGAGAATTTACTGCGGGACCTTGAGTTTGGTTGAATGATGGTCTGCGAAGAATTGAGCTGGAAAAATCAGTTTTTGGAGAAATTTTGTTTCTGGCGACATCCGTTTTAAAGACAGTGTCCGGGCAAGAACTCGATCTTGAAATTTTGTGCTTACCCGGGCCTATTCGCTATGCTGAATCCGAAAATCCACACTGAAGAACGCGGAAACGACAAAAAAGGGCTCTAACACTGGAGGGAAATCAGCAAGTGGGCGGGATCTTCCCCACTGCGAATTCACGCTCCCAGCTTCGGGGGCGATCTTTTTGATTCCGGTTTCAAGTCATTCGTTTGCACTTGATCGGTAGTGATGCCAGGGCGGCTAACGGATTCGAGAAAATTGCTCTGGAAGCGGGAAGCGTGAATCCACAGTAGGGGAGACCCCGCCCACCTGCTACTTCCCGCCTGGAAAGCGCGGAAAAGGTAAAATAGGGCTCTAGCGTAGAAGGGAAATTGCAAGTGGGGGGGGGGCGGCCCTCCCCACTGTGAATTCACGCTCCCAGCTTCCGGAGCAGTCTTCTCGATTCCTAACATCGTTACCGGCCAAGTGCGATGATTGACCTGAAGCCGGAAGCGAGAAGAACGCTCCGGAAGCTGGGAGCGGGAATTCACAGCGGGAGGGCCCCGCCCACCTGCTGATTTCCCTCCTGCTTTAGAGCCGTTTTTCGCTGTTTTCGCGCTCTCCAATGTGCGTTTTCGGATTCAGCGTAGCGAGTAAGCCCGGGTAAGCGCATCTCAAAATCTCAAAATCGAGTTTTTGCCCGGACACTGCCTCTAAGTGGAACAAGGAAAGAGATGGTTTATGTGGGAAGAATTATAGTATAGCCGGGGTTCGGTAAGATTCAGATTTATGAATCTAAAATTTAATGTGAATCTTTTCCTCGTTTCAAACTCACGTTTTTGTTCTCGAAGTTTGCTTACATGCAGACTAGTGAATATTTGAGCATAGATAGAGAATACAAGACTTTTTTCGGGAAAGGCTGAAGTGTTGAGTTATACGATAAAGCGAATGGGCTGCAAGTAAGTGCCAAATGCCATAGAAATGTCAGAGCTAGAAGAAACTAAAGGCAACTGTTGGAGAGCATGACGATGAGTCCAATCGGAAATTTGCAACGATAGGTAGAACCAGAAAGTTTTTATTTGTTCCTCTTCTTCTGTTAAAAAAAAAGTCTGCAGTTTGTCAAACATGTGATAAAGACGCTCTTTGCCATGAACAGAAGGGTCTTGTGGAGTGTGCAATTGTCCAAATGGTTTACTTTCAGTGATACGTGCAGTGTCTTTTCTGTGCTTTACGTGCCTCATGTGG